GGATTTGAAAATAACCCTTGTTATCAAGGTCGACTTGTTATCAAGGTTCTACTGTATATGAATTGAATGAACAGATGGTGCTAAAGGCTTTTTACTTGAACTGCAACTGTTACAGCAATTACAAATTAAAATTCAAACCAACAATGGGGGTTCTATTATTTTGTTTAGAATTATTATAGGCCTACACCTTATTTTTATATTTTTAGGACCATAACAGACCAAATTTAATTAGAACCGGTTGTTTTTTAAAAATCTGATTTTTTGTTATATAATGGGAAAGTAATTGTAACTTTTACAGGTGGGAGTTGTACCATTTTGTTCAAAATTTAAAACACTAGGTACAGGGGCATCATTTGGGGGGGCATTTGCCCCCCCCCTGGATCCTGGGCTAGAGAAAAAAATATGCTGTACTAGCCAATATACTAATATTTTCTCCTGTCAAATCCTAAAAAGCACAGCAGACAAAAATCTGTATATTCTTGTACAGTAATTTGAAACAATAATTATTATTGTTTTATTGTCTTAGATACCGGTAGCACATTTTGAGTTTACATAAAGTCAGCAGAAACTCAGAAACTACTGTACGTACGTAGGCATACAGTTAGTTTGTAGAGGAGGATTGAGTAGATGATTTGAATCCGATTGAAATTGAAAACTCAATACTCAGACTCAGATCCAACAACAAACTCGAATCCGATTTTCCGATATCGATAGTGTACACAATTCAATATCGATAGTGTAATTGCAGACTCTCGATAGATCGATTCAATCGTATTCTGTCCGAGTATCGTAGTGAACCCTAGGCTATCCACTGTGATGCAACGAAACATTGCAGCACTCAACAATTAAATTGGCCTGAACAGCTGATTAGTTGAAGTTCGAATCATTACAATTTTACTTTTTCTCTCCCAATGCTTGGACTTCATTGGTCCGTTACCCGTGTTGTTATGAGTAAAACTATGCGGTTATGAAAGTAAACAATGCTGTTATGAGATACTTTTCAATTCTAAGAACTCTACTGAAACGGCTACTGAAAACGGTCGTAGGTAAACATCTTTACAGGGTATTAAACAGCGCTAAATGAACAGGTTGTTATGACTTGGTTGTAGAAAAGACAACGCTTGTGTTTGTGAGTAATACTTTTGATTCGTACGCAGGTGGTCAATAATAAGTTCATAAATTATTTATTAGGCCAGAATTTTACATAAATGCATTGGCTTTGTCAGTTAACCAACTACAACTAAGATAATGGGAGGGAGACAGTGTCACAGTTTTCAGCAGAAAGACGTTGGCTTCTCGAACTGAGCGATGATGGTGCCGAAGAACAATTTTATGTCTAATAATATTATCAGACGTTTTCTGTAAATAACTTCAGTACTGATACCCTCATAAAATTGTATTTCATTTTTCATCATGTTCTATTATTAGCTTTCCCTCACTTATCTTCTCTTCTAATTTTTACTAGTAATTTTATGTATTTACTTAAGTCTTTTAACTTCTGTTTAAGTTAATTTATTATTTTCACCAAACACAATTGTGTCTTTTGCGAAGTGGTGTGCGACAACGAAGACTCCCCCACACCACAGAAAACATATGTTTTCTGTGCCCACACGCAGATGGGCAGTCTTTGTGTGTATTTTTTCATTTGTATTCCTTTTCTTTAACCACTGTGTACTATTGTGATTATTATTTTTGGAAAATTAATTATCTCATCTTACATAGCAAATGTGTCTTAACAAATCTTTCTCAACCAACTTACATTAAATAAAACTTCCTATAAAATGCACTTATGACTGTGAATGCCAAGAGCAATAAATTCATGGATACGGTAGTAGCATTTAGATACTGGTAATTTTCTGAAGGGTTTTTAGTAATAATGTTTTAAATTTTTCGATGATTTGGCAAAGCATTGAAGAGTATTATTCTGTTATGATATATGTTATGCTTTTAAGGTGGTTGCATGCTTTGGTATAGGGCAAGATCTGGAGCCTGTACAAATTGAGAAGTTATTAAAAAGAGTTTCAGGGGTGTATGCAAGGACCATTGATTATACATCGATGGCAAGGACCAGTTAAAGTGCACAAACTAAAATAATCCTTTACAAGAAGTTTTTCCACTGATTTTGAAGACAGTTGCGATTTCTCTCTTTTGAAATCTAAAGAAAAAACGAGTTCTTTTATTTTCGCATCCCCTAGTGGACATTGCTTGGACCAAATTAGGGAAAATGATAATAATTTACTATTAAAATTTCATTCTGATCGACAAAATTAAAAGTTGTGTTAAGATAACGTTTCCAGACCCAACCTCATGCATACAAAATACTCTCGATATGGTCATGAAATCGAGGGGTTTCGTCCAATATTAAACAAAGGAACTTGACTTGTTTAGACGACTCAATTTCTACGTCGTCTAAAGGGTGTTTGTGGAAGAAATTAATTAAAATGCTGAGCATTTTATTTTTTTCTAGGATTGCGATTTATAAATTGGAGTCAAACCACTGTTAAGTGTGTTTTGCTTCGATGAAAGATTTTCATTCTAATCCCTTGGCAACTTCTGCGGCGTTTTGATACTTGATCTGTGGTGGTCCAACAATATAATATCTAAAACTAGACAAAAGGGGAAACTCTTTTAAATATACAAGGTATTATCTTTAGTCAATTAATCAGTAAGGTCAAGCAGTCTGTGGTTTATATTGGAAAACTGCATTGATTATAACCCCACACCAGCAAATCTGCAAATTAGGCGAATTTCCCTTAGCCTGGTTGGAATTTTAATCGAATATTTCCAAAAACATTCCAGATTTATTCCCTTCTAGCAGTGAGCACGTTCTACGAAGAGGATCTTGAAGTTCGTTTTCCTCTAGTTTTCAATGGTTTGTAGCTGTTCTGGGTCGCTGGGATTTTAGTAAATGCTGAAAGCTAAAGGAACAGCCGACACATGTGTTACTTCAATCAACACGCGTTTTGCATTCATATTACTGTATGCCTAAAACACGAATCTGTGTTTTCTCAAAACGTATGCTAGTGATTATGATTTAAAACAGTAGTTAACAAATGTTTTGTGATCACGTTTTATGTTTATAGTTACAAAAGTAATAAAAAACACAAAAACATTATTCATATATACTAGGGAACTGAGAAGGGAACTGTAAATCATGATATCCTGATCCGTAAGTTGCAGTTTTATGGTATATCGAGTAGGACTGTTAAATTGTTGGTTTCTTTTTTATCACATAGAAAACAGTGTATAAGGCTGCAGTCACTGGGGCTTAAGTCCGATTATGAATTCATCACAGAAGGTGTTCCGCAAGGGTCTATTCTTGGACCCTTGCTCTTTTTGATTTATATAAATGACTTGCCTATGGCCTTAGATTCCAAATTAGTAATGTTTGCTGACGACACTTCTGCAATATTTACCCATCCTGACAAATCAACGTTTCCACAACTGATAAAACAAGAATTCTATAAGCTAGAAATTTAGTTTCAAGCTAATGGGCTATTATTGAATCACTCTAAGTCACTTTTAATCAACTTTCAAAAAAATTTCCAATATAATAACACCACTATACCATGCTGTTTTTCTGAATGTACCAGATTTTTTGGGATAACTTTAGACAATAAATTAAACTGGAAAACTCACGTTGCAGAAGTTATAAAAAAGTTGAACAAAGCTTATTTTTCAATCCTTATTTTATCTAGAGCAGTAGATGTCTCCACTCTTATGATGGTGTACTATGGGTATGTTTATCCTATTCTTAATTATGGAATCATTTTTTGGGGCAATTCTGACAAAAAGAAAAAGGTATTTAAATTGCAAAAATGAATCATTGGAATAATTTATTCTCTCAAAAGTAGAGATTCATGTGAAGATATATTTAAAATCAATAACATTCTTACTTTTCCTAGTCTTAACATCTATAATTTACTAATTTTTTTTATGAAACAAAACATCTCTAAATTTTCTGTTAGTTCAGACAACCACAATTATGACACAAGACACAAAGACTGCCTTACATATCCCAAACACAAATCTTCTACCTTTGAACTTTCGCCCCACTACTCTGGTATTAAATTTTATAACAACCTGCCTGATTGCATTAAGTCTGCATCTTCCCTCAGGTAATTTAAAAAAAGTTTATTTAAGTTTTTATGTAACAAGTGTTGCTAAGCTCAATGACTTTTTCCGTTGAGTGTTGTACGGCTTATTTATTTATATTATTTTTATGTTGGTATTCTTAGGAATTGACACTATTCATGTATATTTTGTACATAATGCATAAAGGATGTTTTGATTTGATTTGATTTGATTTGAGAAGGCCCACTTTAAAAGGGCCAATCACTAAATATAAAAAAACAACAAAAAATAAACCAACTGTAGTTTTATGTGAAGGAAACTAGCGCCTTTGGTAATGTGACCACGGACACGTTTGTAAAATTTACATCACGGAAATTGTTGTCTTATCGGTCGATGTGATATGCTGGACAAAAAGTCGATCTGTATGAGGAACTGATGTCTTTTTGTCTTTTTATGACAAGCTCAAAGAACTATCTCTAAAAATATTGTAACAATTGTATATCCCAGGTGGAGGTTGTTATTTTATGTGGTTGTAATCTATGAATTGATTTATTCGTTCTCGTTGTTGGTTATTTAAATAATGATTTACTTAGTCTCATTTTTCAGATCATTTATTGTTAACATTAATACTGTATATACACGCTCGATAACCGATAAACCCTTAAAACAACGTTAAAACAATTTAATTTTGAACCTCGTTTAAAACTTGTTATGTCATAGAGCAAAGTTGATATACAACACGAAATCTAAACAAAAATATTGCTGAGTAGAATAAATGAAACATTAGAATCAACGAATAATATTCCAAGGTGAATTTTTCACCTACCATCGCTGTACTAGTGGAATGGTAGAATACAGTAGAGCAAACATAACTATCGCTAGCGTTAATGTAAATAAGTACCTTACTGTCGTACACCGCGATAAGGTAGTAAGAGAAATGATTTTATTGGCTCTACTGACAGCCAAATCCACCGTGATATTCCTTGAATAAAATTCTATCAGCGTAGCCTAACCTGTGCCCAGCTCTACTTCTTGTGAGTATGTGTATGATTTCTTAGATGTAGTTTGTTAATCTTAATCCCATCGAGGGGTTGACCTAGAAAATCTCCTTTTGGGGATGCTAGTTCCAAAATGCGTGAAGGAAAATGATGTGATTCTTATGTATTTAATGGGATGAATACGTGTTGAAAATTGTTTACATTTTGTAATTGTGTAAGAGGATTTAAATCGATTTATGCTCTCTTTTGGATTTATCTGTGTCCATGTGTGTTCTTCCATTGGTGAGTACACTTTTGATTTGAATTTAAAAGAATTCCAGTTGATGGATACTTATTTTTTTGGTTATAACTTTGAATTTATATGTGGATGAAATAGAGGAATGCATAATAATAATTATGTTGATTGCATATAAATATTTTTCAATCATAACTTACCTGAATTCAACACTATTTCCAAAAAGCATTTAATTAAGCAACCATTTTTTTTTAAATATCACTCAGTGACATTAACCATAATTTCAAAGATCAATAACTTAAGTTTGCCCAATTTTTTTAAGTAATGACTAAAATAAACCAAGTTTTCGAAGATAACGCAATTAAATCAACATTATTTTCAAATAAATCCCACTTAAAAACACTCCTGTAAAGATTACCTCGAAAAATCAACCCTTATGAAATCACTCTTATCAATAAAGTTTTCAAAGTTCACTTACTAAAATCAGCACTAGTGCCGAAGATTTCCAGGTACTTTATTTATTAAATCAACACTGTTTCCATATATCTGAAACTACCCCTGTTTTAAACGATGATTCACTTCAACAAACCCCATTTATAACCATAACTACTGAAGCTTAAATAAACCCCGATTTTTAAGATAGCCTAACTCACTTAAACATATCTTGTTTTTACAAATAACTCAATCTATAAATCCTATTACTGTACTGGCGAGCTCAGGTAATGATAACGAAGTTAAAAATAATACACTCAACATAAATGCATAGATCCACACATACAATAGTATATATATATATTTTTTTTAAATCAGAACTAATGCCAAACTACATAAGGATCTATATACACTGTATAATTATATACACTTAGTTTGCTAAAACTAATTGGAATCTTCCCACGGAGTGTGTTTTATTTTAAATAAGCCATAAGCCTATCGAATCATAATGAAACGAAAACCGAAGAAAATCCGTTTGTTTAAAACTTAAGAGTCGCTCCAAGATTATCCTGATCATTTTTAAAGCACTTGTGAGTTTAATATTTAAAAAAAAATCGTTGATGAATGCATTGGAACGCCTTTCTATAAATGAATAGGTTTCAACAAGTTTTGTATTTGTTAATATTTGTTTATACACATAATAGTAGCTTGGTCAACAAATTACTCATTTAAAATTGAACTTAATTAAATGATCTTTATTGGCAAGTAGACGTGTAGCCTTTATATTTGTCATTGTAATGTTGCCAAATTCTTACAGCCTTAGCGTAGTGATAGGCATCAGATTTTACATTCACATAAATACATTTTAGAGTTGCCATTAGGTTTGAGGAAAGACAAATAGATGTACTGTATTTAAATAATATTATTTTCTTATACACAATGTATCCTGTACCTTTTTAACTTTTTTATGAAGATTCTTAGATCAAAAATTATTTGATGTAACCATTGCATTTGATTCAAACAATTTTGCAATCTAAGCTCGTTTAGAAGGACACAACTCGCTCATGAAAAAGGTCAAACAAACCATTTACGGGAGGTTAAACATACCCCAAAACGCCCAAATCCCCTTTTTGTGCGTTCCTTGTTCCAGACAAACCTATTTTACGTTATGAAAATGGATCTAAAGTGCGTGAATATATTTTTGTCCGTCAAAATGTGTTCTTTATTAAATTTTTCAAAAACTTAACATTTATTCGATCAAGTAACTTGAAATTTAGCATGGTTACTAAGTCGGTTAGAGAGACTATGCAATTTATTTTCAATTTATAGTGTTTAAAATGGTGGTACAATTTAAACCTGGTTTAAATTATGTGGATTTAATGATCTAAAACTTGAAAAGGTAAAACATAGAAACGTGAATTTTAAATGTAGACCTCTGCAAATAAAAACTAAATAACAATGCAGGGATGAGTTTTGTAACACCCTGTACAAACTTAAAGTTCAAGCAATGATTCAATCAATAAAATTGTTCAGTACACTGGACCCAATAATCGCGCCCAATTTAACGCTATAAATTATAGTTCACTGTTTTACCGTTCTACATATTTCTACCGACTCTAATGGTCTGATATGATAAGTAAATGTACTGAATCAGTAAGAAAAATACCAAGGCATTCAGAATGTGATTTCACATACTACAACGCAAATCAATTTTATATTACACAATTTTTATTTTAGTAATCTTCTTAGTAATCAAATTTGAAAGACGCTGTAAATATTTGAATATTTAACCATCTTACGCAATATTTACAAAAGAAATATATTTTCTTTGTAGCTGGAATGTCATAAGAAATGTTCGAATGATTGTCTTATATTATGGTTTTCTATAAACAATTGACATATCATGTTCATATTCATAAATTAACAATGATGGTTCTTAAAGCCACTGACCACTGTTGTTTGAAAATCTAGAAACCCAGAAACTATCTATAAATCAAGAAAATAAACTTTACAGTATACAATGCAATCATAGAACATTACTTATCTAGATTGCCACTACTATGACTTTACATATAAAAAACCAAGAAGCTTTACAGATTTAGAGCTACTACCAATCGACATGCTTAACAATGTATCCTGAGATTTCTTTATTACTCTGAATTCTGAAATTTATATAATGAAAACCAGGGTAGGGATCATGTATACTGGATTTCAAAACTTCGACGTTTTACAGAGTGTCCCAAAAAGAATGGATCAAAAGTAATCTGGCATAAAGACTATTATTTTAGATAAAAAGTCACCATTATATACAACTTTTCTCTTAACTTCCTAAGTGTTTTCCTACCATAGTTTCACCGCCTAACCTCTACATGTTCTCCGTTATTTCCTCGAAGAAAGTAAGTTAGTGTTCCAGCTATGACCACAATATTAGCACATTTCATCAGACATTTTCTCAATTGCTTCCCTTAAATTTGATTACAGTTCATCTATTTTTGAGATGGGCAAGCGATACACTTGATCACAGATTTGACCATAAACCATTATCTATGAACCATTCAATAAACTGTGCTTTAAACTGCGCCTCCAACTTAATGTCTTGGAAATTCAAACGTGCTAACAACAATTGAACAGCTGATAACTGTTGAATGGTACTCAACAAACTTAAAAACACCAGCTTTAAAATAAGCCACAGCTGATTTCTCTGAGACCCTTGGCAACACGTATATTAAGCTGTAGATTTGATCAACTCTTTTTGGGACACCCTGTATAGTTCATAGACAGTTTATTTTTACCTCTTGTGGATTTGTTTTAACCTAATACCTGTCCACAGTTAGTCCAGTGGCCCCGCAAAGATGAAAGGGGTGTTGTTTGTGGCGCTGGTGTGTGCGGTTGGCTTGACCACCGTAGACGCTAAGTACGGGTTCTCCTCTCTATACAACATGGTGTTTGGCCGACCAGGGTGCAACAACGGGTGTGGGCCCTTCAGCTGCTGCACTCCGGCTAGGGGTTGCTCCTTCGTTGAGCCCGTAGACTTTGACATCTCTGAGGTATGTCCAATATAGGGTGGCTAGATTCGTGTCGTAACATTTCGGCCCGAAATGCTCAGATGTGGCCTGCGGTCCAACTATCTGCCTGCTCACTAGTAACACTTCCCCCCAAAATGTTTGACAGGTCTTCACATACTATTTTGGAGGATAGTAAAAACTGACAACACTTAAAAACTAACAAAATGCATTAGATTCAAAATTGACTCACCACAAACTGCGTTCGTTTAGAAGTGAAGTGGTAGCTGGACTTGCAAGTCCTAACTTCGCCTCTCAAATAAAGACATTTTTCATTTCATTTCATTTCATTGCAAGGCTTAGACGAAGTTAATTTTCAACTAAACTTTAACCAATTTCCACATAACTAGAAAGGTTTGATCTAAAACTCAACCAAGTCCGCCTATGCAAAAAATTGTCATAAGGTTAGGTTAGGTCAATGTAAATTTTTCTTCGGGCCGAAATGTTACTCCAAAATAGCTTATTTGATCAACTGTAAAAGCAAGTGGGACGAAGTGTTACTGTTTTTCTACATTTGAGTTTGGCCGAAATGTTACTACACCGCTAAAGGTCTAAATTTGCGGTGAGACATATTCTATCTGCCTTTCTTATGAGTCACCTGAATATATTTTAAGGTATATTTTCTGCCCGGTATGTAGTGTGCTCTGATGTTTAATATTTACTGAAATTTAAATTGACTTTAAATGAATAAGTCCAATTTTGGACGATCTAACTACCTCTCGATTATAAACCACCTCTCGTCTCCTGGTATGATAACCACTAACAAACTAATTCTTACCTAAGAGATGGATATTTATACATCAAAACGCTTAAACGATTAAAAATAACTGGACATGACGGGTGGCGTCGTCCTGTAATCCAGCTACTAGGAGGTCACGAATTGTGGATATTTACAGGCATGCACTGTGGATGCGATACTCCCTGGTGTGGATTAACGTCCGCACGAGTGAGTACTACGACTATCCGCAGTACTATCCTGATAATTAGACCAATTCGTATATACCAAGGCAAAAAAGTGGTTCGGATTCTACTATAAACTGTAGGTCCCTTAGTTGCTATTAGCTGAATGGGCTATTAATTAACAGCTGTGTCTAAGGATTATGTCGGCCTTAGTCACTAACAAAACTACAAGATCGCGCCACTCATCTCCATTCATACTTGGCTTAAAATACCTACATTGTTATGGTCGCCATTTCAAAGAAAAGTATAAAGTATAAGTATAATCCCAAAACAGATTTTGCAATGAGATGAAAAGTTTACTTTCAACATCCAAAGATTATTTTTTAAATATGTTTGATAATTGATACATCTGTTGTTGTTAGCGTTTTAGTTGGAGATGATGACTGGGATTGTTAAGGATTTGATTCTGATTGTTTATGTCTCTGTTTACAGTTTTCTCCCTTCATGTTCGTTGTCTTCACAGTAGCAACTGCTGAAGTTTACAGGATAGACAACGTATGCTACTCCTTCATCGTTGACGAAGATGGAGACTCTGCCTTCTCAAGATCTATAGTCTTGTAAGTTTTATTATCATTGTTTAGAAAATCTAACACTGAGTTGAATTTAGTCCTCTCAAAAACTCACAGTGACATTGCAAAATACTGTTAAACTTTATTAGTTTGCTTGTAGTAAGTGAAATGATTCATAAACAGAAGATAGTGTATTCACAGCGGTTTTTTTTTTTCATTTTGCATTTTGAAAATTGGAAAAATAAATGCCCCGGTGTCTGGAAAAAAGCTCTTGACTCAAATAGACTTAACAATCCTGGACATTTTTCTTTTGGACCAGGTTGTACTTTTACCTACTGGTAGCTGTAACTTTATTCAGTTTTTCATCTTCAATAAATTTTCTTATCAGCAAATAGTTAGCATAACTGCGTTTAAATCGTCGTTATTACTGTTTTGGTCTATATGATGATTGCACACTTTTGGTTATTTAGCATATATTTTATGTTATTACAAAATAAAATGAAATCAAATATAACTAAAATGTTTTATTTTCCAGTGAAGATGGCACCAGAAATATAAAGACTTTTGAAGCTACAGGTGTGGCTGACAACGTTTTCAATGCTCAAGGTAAATATTACTTATCATGTAAGCAAGGACTTTGAATAGGAGTTTAATAACACATAATTGATAAACATTTTTACATTTGCACACATAAATATACAGTTTGTCTCATGAGGAGGTTTAAAAGTTTGATTTTGTATTACTAGCCAATTTACGTGCCAAAAGCTTTGAAACTTTACACGATTTATACAAATCATCCCTTTTGTATAAAAGGGTTTGATAATTTTAACTTTATACAATTTGTAGAAACAAAACAGTAGTATAATGAAAGTTTTACAGTTTTGCTTACCATACAAATTTGGATATTACGTAATATGTTGCAGTTTTTTTTTACACTTATTGTTGAACAGCTGTTTGGTAATGGAATTGCTTGAGCCATAGAAACACGAAAATAACCTGACCAACTGTAACATGTTTTGCGAACCTAAAAGACGGCTTTATTATCTCCAAACAATTTCAATTAAGAATACTTTACTTTCTTTCTCGGTAAATGACAATTAAAAAACGGCCACCGCAACATACCTGCAGACTAACGAATTTCCATTTGCCTGATTGGATTTACAAAATTTCTCCTTAAAAATATCACATTTATTCCCAAATTAAATAGAATTAGTTTAACGAATACTTAGGTTTGCTGCAACAGGGAGGGTAGAGTGGGTTTTTTTTAATTTTAATAGTTTAGAAATAAATAAATGCATTTTCCAAATTTGACCGAAATATGTTCATAAACAAGCAAACTGCAACAGTTTACTTATTGTTGGAATTTTCTCCGTAACCATTAGGTGCATAGTAACGCTTTAATATACTAAATTATTTGTTTTTTAAGCTCTACAAAATTGTTTGGAAAGAAATTGCTAAATTTTATGTTTTTTGGGTCAAGAAATACCAATTTTTACTCCATAAAACGCCCCATAAACCCCCGTTCCCATAGTCCGATCATGCTGGTTCGCGAACTCGTACGAATAAATGTAGGTTTACACGTTTATACCAAATTTCGTCAAAATATGATCATGTTTGCTCGAATTATCGTGCTAACGTACACATATACATGAATATTTGACATTTCCTTGATTATTTTGTTTACTTATTTATTTGAATCTATCACAAATATGACCAAAACCTACCTTAATTGTGTAGTGTCAAAACAACTATTTACTCACATCCAAAAGTTCGTCCTCTAATTATGCAGCAAAAATATTTCCAATTAGAAAGTATACTATCTTATGTTTACATTTATTTTATGTGTGTTCATCATTGTGTAACAAAATATATTTCATTAATATAAAATAGTTTATCACACTGGTCAAAAGTATGTTTTGACCCCATAGGTTCTACAGTATATTCCTACTGTTTGAACAGCTGATTTGTTCACAATAATGTCTAACTATTGTTTCCATTATTTAGGTGGACCGTGCAGGTTTGACTTTGAAGTGACCGCTGTTATACAGGAGTTGGAATGTCTAATCAGTCCTATCTACATCCTAAACAGATGTTTCTGCAGCGAGTGTGAGTATTGTTGTTGTGGTTTCCAAGCGCTCATTAAGATTTTGTGTTTAAATCTTGCGTCTCGTTCACTTTAAAGTTTTTTTTAATGAATTACCATAGAAAAGTTTATAAAGTGGTCCAATATATAGGCCATACAGTACAACAAAGCTATTATTTTAAAAGTTACTTTGATTGGTTATGCGCTTTAAAATTATTACCAAAAACAAATATACATTCAAGAGTTTTGTTATGCTAATAATTACTTTTACGTTGTGGCGAAATTACCAATTAGGTTGTTAATTTCTTAATGTTAAATTACAATCTTTTTTCACAACAAATAACTAGTTTTTAAGCGTAATTGTGAACTCATTTAAAATATTTTAAAACGCCCCAATGTGATACAGTGTGTGAATAGTGTAGACCTATTATAAACTGTGAATACTCACACAGTAAATCGAGAATTGTGGTAGTTTCGGTAGAAAATCCCGATCATCATCAGTTTCGGGTGGACCACAATCATAGATTAAAGGAGTAGACACTAATCTTTTAATCTTTGTCACAATGAACGGATGGGTCTAATTGAAAAATAAAAATCGCCCTATATAAAGTATAAACATAGTCTTTATTTAATCGAACCTCATTTATATGTGTGGATTTACATATGTGGTGAGTCGGTGGCTCAGTTGGTAGCATCACGGACTTCTGGTCCAAGACAGCGATGACGTGGGGTCGGATGCTGATCACTGCCGCAAACATTTTATCAGTACAGTTCACCTTCGTACTGTACCGGCTCAAGGGGTGAGCAAGCTTTGCTGGATACGTTCCACGCACAGATCTGTAGTCTATGTGGACGGGCAAGGTTAAAAAAGACCGCCAACATCTAAAAAAAAAATAGTTAAAGAAAATAATCACTCATCATGGACATGATGACTAAACTAGTCATATGACTCATTCCCCTATAGTCTGTATTATGGAACCTGTCTCCTGGCCCCTTTTCTACCTTGAGCTGGATCGGGACTTGAACCATTGGCCTTGGTAGACGAAGGATCAGGAGACAGCTTCCATCACGAAATGAAATGAAAATCCTTTATTTCAACAGGCAAGGTTAGGGTCACATGACCATTTCTCAGTCAGCAATTACGCAAGCACCAAAACAGTCCCATGATACACCAGCCGTGGCCATACGCTCTAAGTACAATTTTTTGACTTTCATCACAAACCTGGGACGGTTATCAAGCAGTTTATTGATAGATGTAGATTGTTCCAAATACGGCAGGCAGTTACAACAAAGGCCCTGTCATATGCTGTACTCCTATGATGGGGTATGCACAACGTGAAAGATGCTGTACGTTATCATCAGTATTGCAGCTAATCATCTCATCTAGTTTTGTTGTTGACAAAATACAATGGTAACATTCTTCTGAAAACTCTATGTAATTGTTGAATCTTGTTGACAGGCTGCAACGAAGACTCCATGGTGATTGCTGTGACCAACAACGTGTTGTTGGACGAGCTGTGTATCGGAAAGGCCATTGCAATTGCTGAGGAACAGTTCCCTTGCTTCATCTTCCGTTCCATGCCCAACCTGCTCCTCCCCAGTTGTATACCTCCTCTCAACATCCTTGTGGATCTGCCACTACCGCTCTTATAAGCTGTCGTTATCCACCGAGAACTGCAACTGTTACTTCTTTGTAACCGTTGCGAGTAACAGTTACTCCCGTTCATTTCAGTCCTCGCGCTAAATGTACACTACTCATTGTATTTTACCCTGTTTACGTTTTAGCATTTTTTACAATATACGGAAGGAAAATGAATTTCTGTAATAGCACCATGATGTATGTATGTAAAATACTGAATAAGGTTTATCTAATACAAGATAAGAATATTTTAGTTGTAATAAAGATTTGTTACAGTAAAAGCTTTGTTTATGATTTGTACCATAAAAACTGTCATGTCTGTGATGATTACTGTTTCAGTATACTACTCTTAAGGACTGCTCGAGCCTTGCATATTAGCATAAATTAACTAATTAATATAATGAGATTTGCGGCCCCGTGTACCTTGGGCGTTTTAGTTGGACCGTTAACAATAATTATTTCTAGTCAATATCATTATTTATACAGTTTTGGGGGACAGACCTATCGTGAAACGAAATTCCAAAAACTGTATTAGTTTACCATTTATGTTAATACTACAAAAGGATTAAATCAACATTTACACTACTTGTATCTAGAACGCAATTTTTTACCATATCCCAACAGGGGTTTTGTTTTATTGTACAGTTAAAAGAATCTGCTAGGTGTTTTTAAACATTGCGATTAAGCATTGGTTTACAGTAACCATTCTATCTTGTTGTAAAGATATAAATCATGTTAACACCGGATTATGACAATTAACCAACAATCACTACTGGTTTTAAAACGTATCGTGAATAAAAAAATCACAAGGTTTTTCATCGTATTTCTTGCATATACTAGTGATTGCAAATAATTCCAGTGTGCGGTAAAAGCTCACAATTAAGTAAGATTGTGCCAACTTGACAACAAAGGCATTAGATTTAATGTGACCTAGTTTCACATAGTATTTAGTAAATATTTAACCTTTTATTTTTTTTTCTTTTAATTGATCCGTCTCTCATAATTCATAAGTCATTTATTTATGTATAACCAGATTTACATAAGTTACATGCATTGGTATCGTCAATTACAGTAATACATAAAATATATACAAAGTTCCTTATCCTACATGCCATAAGCTATTTAAATTTGGTTTACATTTTATATTTAGTTTAGAAATGCACTCATTATGCCCATGACTGCCCGTCAGCAATAAACTCACGGACACGGTAGTAGCATTTAGACATTAGTAATTTCCGGAGATTTTTTTAATTACAGGGTCTGACTAAATTTTTAGATGATTCGGCAAAGCATTGAAGATCAGGATTCCGTTATAATATAGATTTTTTTAAATTGGTAGAATGCTTTTGTATCTGAAGATCGAGGCTGTTTCGTAGAAAATATGGGCAAGATCTAGGGGTTACAAAGATAGAGAAGTTGTTTTGCAAAAAGGAGAGTGTTTTAAGAATATACAAGCAAGGAAAAGTTAAAATATATGAACACAAAAAGAAATCTTTACAAGAAGTTCTTGGAATGATTTTAAAGATAGTTCTAATTGCTCTCTTTTGGAGTTGAAATAAAAATCTAGTTCTATCATTCTCGCATCCCCATGTCGGTACTGCGTCGACCAAATGAGGTAAGATGACACCATAATAGGCTGTCAGAAGGACATTCTGATCGGAGAAATGTGCAAGTTGCCTTAAAAGGAAGATGCCAGACCCCACTCTCATGCATACATTGTCGACATGGTCATGAAATAGAAGGGTTTTGTCTAATATTAGACGAGGGAATTTTACACTGTCTGAAGACTCAATTTCTACATCGTCTAGAAGGATGTTTGTAGAAGGATTGCCTGGGATTGAAAAACGGAGCAATTCAGTTTTGTTGGGATTGAGGTTCCGTAAATGGAAATCAAACCACTGCTTAATATTATTTGCATCAGTAAAATATTGTATGTCCAATTCCTCGGCAGTTGAGCTATACAGGGCTACAGACGTATCATCCGCAAAAAGGCAGACCTACCAGCCTCAACACTTGAAGGCAATTCATTTACATAAATCAAGAACAGTAGAGGTCCAAGGACAGATCCCTGGGGAACCCCACAAGTGACGATGTCCCGTGAAGAGGCAAAGGGTCGAGAACACCGAGAACTGTCAACTCCTCTGACCTCAATAAACTGCTACCTCTTACGGAGATATGAGGAGAACCACTCATGTGCCAGCCCTCTCGCCCCAATGGAATCCAGTTTATCAAAGGCTTTGCTCAGATCAAAGAAATGCCCTAAAGCATTTTCTCCTGAGTCTAGAGCCCGTACTACTTTATTTAAGGTAAACATTGCATTAGTTGTCGATTTCCCTTTTACAAATCCAAATTGATTCTTAAACATAACATTATTTGTTTCTAAACACTTAAGCAAAATTTAATTTAAAATTTAATTAAAAAAAAAAAAAAAAATTCAGCATGGTTAGCAGATACGTTCGACAAATCTAAACAGAGATTAGACGCTAATATTTCAGAATTCGAGTCTAGATTCGAAACTTCATGCATCATATTCTCAAGATCCCACATAAAAAAACAATTACATAAATAAGCAATACACATTTATTCCGAAGTTATAATCAATATTAATACAAATGAATACAAATACACAGTTACATAGATTGCATGCTACCCAGAATGTTTATTTGTTGTTAGTCGTCTAACGAGTAAAAATTAATTTCCATTCACATAGACCTAATATTACGCAAAGAGTTGCAGCCGTTGACTCTGTTACGTGGTTCCTGGAAATATAAAAGCGGCAACTGTCACTACCGTAATGTTGTGGTGGCTGCGTCTGAGGCCAGGCGGCGAAGCAGTGATGTTTCGTATCGCCAGGTTGGCAATCCTACAGCCAACAGAAAAGTCGGCGTGCGCGAGATGGGATGTGCAGCCGTATTTACAGGACTTGCTCTTTTTGCCGACAGGCCTATTGCAGTGTTAGCACAGTTTTGAACACCTATTTACTTATTAGGTCCATCTGAAGTAATAAAGATGACCAAAAAACTATCTGTAAACAAGTCTAATAAATTAATCAGCAGCGATAATTCCTTCCTCTCATCACAGGTAGAACAGTTCCAAAAGCAAAAGAAACATCAAACAATATATAATTTTTAACCCCAATTAAATGCAAATTCAAAGGCTTGTTAAAAGGTTCATAACTAATTTCAACATTAACTAATAAATTAAAGGAATATAAATTAATTAATCCACCACCACAGTAAACTTGTAAACTAAGCACATTTCCCATAGAGCTTAAAACACTTTAGTCTATTGAGCGTATAGTGCTTAGTTACTGAGAAAATTCCCAAAACTGTTAAGTTTAGAATGTTATTCTTATGGAGAATAAGTAAACTGTTGTAGTTTGTTTGCTTATGGGTATGTTTTGATCAAGTTTGGTGAATTAATTTATTTCATATTAGGTTATTAACATTCGAAAGAATAAACATTTTTACTCCCTGTTGCAGCAAACATAATAGCTCATTAGGCCTCAAACTATTTATTTTATTTGAATTTAGCTTCCAAATGGCGTCAGCTTTGAGGAAATATTTTAGTAAAATAGAATCAAACAAATGGAAATTGCTTAGTTTGCAAGTCTGCTGTGGCAGTGTTTTCTAAAAATTAGGCATCATTACTCACAAAATAACCATTGTTGTAAGAATCAACATCATAGGTAAAACATTTAACAGTTTCCCCACTGGTAGGCAGACCTGAATTTTGTATCATTTAGGAGTCATGTAGTGGGCACAGTAAAATGTATACGAATCAGATGTTCTGATAGCTATCGAGAAATCAGCTGTTTTGCCAAATAATTCAAGTCAACAAAACTTCAATTACCATAGATAAGAACTATAAGATAAATAAAATTATTTCAATCGTGAATAGCACAGGGTGTTTTTTACAAGTAATGTGGATCACTGTTTTACGATAAAACAAGCTTATATGTTGGTATCCCTGTTTTATTTACTTCATAGATCATCAGCTGATATGTATTATTGCATAGTTATCTATGAGGTTTAGTGTAGTTGGGTGTTTATTGTAAAAAAGTCAACATGGTGTTTTCACAAGCTGAAGGAGATTATGTTGCCTTCACAAAACCAATGATTTACTTTTTAACTCGTCTTCTTCTAACACTTCGAGCTTGGTAAAACACCATGTTGAGTCTTATTTTCAATACATTTCCAATAACACTAACCTCATAGATAACTATTCAACAATGTATATCTGCAGGGATACCAACATACAGGGTGAATAAAAAGTCAATACCCTCCCATTATAATCATTTTCTAAGTAAATATGAGATGTCCTTTTGGTGATCGTGCAATCTTAGCAGGAGGTTTCATCTTATGATTTTGTAAATTTTTATTGTCACCCAAAAGGGGGATTTTGGGGCACAGCTTACTCATTTTGAAAGTAAACCCCCTTCAAGTAACACCTCATTTTAGGAGGTGTTTACAAAAACTTAAAGAATGGTGAAAATCAGAGTTCGCTATTTCTTCTCTATGCAAGGTGGTATAGAGTTTTGCCATTGCATTGATTTTTCTTATCTTTTTTATGTGTAGACTTCAATACATTTGAAGGGCTACCATTTTGGACAAAGAAGAGAGAGGGAACTCTGGTTTCCACCATTCTTTAAGTTTTTGTAAACACCTCAAAATGAGGTGTTATTTGGAGGGGGTTTACATTTAAACATTTTGAGTTTCTCCCAAAATCACCCATTTTTGGGGGACACTTGAAATGTTCAACATTTTAAATGAAACTTCCTGCTAAGATTGCACGACCACCAAAGGATAAATTTGTATATTTACTTACGAAAATATTAGATGGTGGGGTCTTGACTTCTTATTCACCCTGTATACGGCCAGTTAAAGGTTGAATAAAAAACTGTTAAAAGGTTTTATAAAATATATTTTCGTTGTCCAACGTTTATAAAAGATAACACAAACCTGTTCAGTTTGATAAAAGGAATTATAAAAACAGTATTTTATCAAATATGGCCCATAAATATCAAAGTTGATTGTCAAAGAACTTTTGCAAAATATCTGTTATAAATCATTTTACAGTGTAATACGGGTCTAAGATTGTTTTGTCATTAAAACGCGTCTCACAGTACTTTTAATTTGCGTTTAAAAACACCCTGTATGACTGTGTAATTTAAGTGGAGAAGGGTCAGTCTTGCAAGGCTATATTAGTTATAACACTACTAAGTATAGATATACTCTTACATAACAATGGTCAATGCACCTTTCAGCCTTATCTGTTATTCTGGTTGCCTCATTAACCAAGCATTCGAGGCCGTACAGCCAAGGATTTGTACTTATCTATTGTTAACAGACATGGGCTCATTTAATTGAATTTTAGAGGAATATTTAAGTCCCTAATCGTAAACAAATTTTTTATTTTCCTAAAATAAGCATAATTTTGTTCAAATATATTCTGGAATTCACTAACAAAAATGTGATTGGTAGATTAGTAGTATTTATGAGTTATGAGTAATAAATTAATCACTGGGACGTTAAGATACCCATGGTCACATATTTTATTACATTGTTTCTTTGGTTAAACATATACTATTGAAATCTTACAAGTGCAACAAATGTGACGTGCACTCATGCCTGAACCACAGAAGGAATTGCTTCGTAGGCCATAAGAAATTATGGATAAAGCAAGAGTACACAATTTATCAGTTATGGGAAGATTTAATAATTATGAGATGGAAAAGATTTCTTTTAGAAAATTATAAAAGCACATGTTTGTATTATTTGACATCTGACGTGCGAATGAATAGCCTCTGCCTACTATCGACGTTCGCAACAGTTCATCTGATCGCCACTAGGTGCGCTTGGTGTCACATTCGAAACAGTTCATATAATTGCCGCTAGGTGTCTCCAAAGTTTAACTTTCAATTTTGATCCATCGTAGTGTATTTATTTCACTATATTATTAATTCTATAATATGCAATAAAAAACTGAACCTTTCCCAAACAAATAAACCCAACATGGATTCTAAAGAAATCACGATTTTTCAATTTACATCTGTGTTAGTGTACTGAAAAAGCGATTTTACTTGCAGACTCTCGCAGCGAATTTATGGTTGCTGGTGAATGACTTGCCCACTTTTGCTTCACTATTGTGTCTGAAACACCAATTGAAATGATTACATTATTTGGAGAGCCGAGAGTCGTGTACTACTTAGTAAGTAGGGGTACGGACGATTGGCTCATAAACATGATCAAAATCTTCAGTACTTTTAATTTGCGTTAAAAACACCCAGTGATGGGTAATTTAATTGGATGAAGGGTCAGTCTTGCAAGGCTATATTAGGTATAACAATACTAAGTATATTAGATATACTCTTACATAACAATGGTCAATGCACCTTTCAGCCTTATCTGTTATTCTGGTTGCCTCATTAACCAAGCATTCGAGGCCGTACAGCCATTAAGGAATTGTACTTATCTATTGTTAACAGACTTAGTGCTCATTTAATTTAATTTTAGAGGAATATTTAAGTCCCTAACATTTTTTTCCTAAAATAAGCATAATTTTTGTTCAAATATATTCTAGAAATCACTAACAAAAATGTGAATGGGAGATAAGTAGAATTTATGAGTTATGAGTAATAAATTAATCACTGGGACGTTAAGATACCCATGGTCACATATTTTATTTTATTGTTTCTTTGATTAAACATATACTACTGAAATCCTACAAGTGCAACAAATGTGACATGCACTTATGCCTGAACCACAGAAGGAATTGCTTCGTAGGCCATAAGAAATTATGGATAAAACGAGTACACAATTTATCAGTTATGGGAAGATTTAATAATTATGAGATGGAATAGATTTTTTTTTTTTAATTATAAAAGCACATGTTTGTATTAATTGACATCTGACGTGCGAATGAATAGCCTCTGCGCTCTGCCTACTACGACGATCGCAACAGTTCATCTGATCGCCACTAGGTGCGCTTGGTGTCACATTCGCAACAGTTCGTATAATTGCCGCTAGGTGTCTCCAGAGTTTAACTTTCAATTTTGATCCATTGTAGTTCATTTATTTCACTATATTATTAATTTTATAATATGCAATAAAAAACTGAACATTTCCCAAACAAATAAACCCAACATGGATTCTAAACAAATCACGATTTTTCAATTTACATCTGTGTTAGTGTACTGAAAAGGCGATTTTACTTGCTGACTCTCGCAGCGATTTTATGGTTGCTGGTGAATGACTTGCCAACTTTTGCTTCCCTCTTTAGTCTTTTTGAGGGTCAAAAACATATTACATTATTTGGAGAGCCGAGAGTCGTGTACTACATAGAAAGTAGTGGTACGGACGATTGGCTCATAAACATGATCATGATCATAATCATTACTTGCAGTGTTCCCATATGCGGGATGGCGGTAATTTAGTCCAATCCGAAATACCGGACTTACTGTCCATAATCGGAATTGATACGGCAGTTATTGCTCTGACCTATATTTTTCTTTTTTTTTACTGATTCTAAGATAAGACTATCCCTAATTGATTAACTTTTCTCATATGTTTAGTTAGTTTTGCTAGGCTAAGGCTAGGAAGTCAGATACTAATATCGAAATGACAATTTTTTTCAAATTAGGAGGTAACTAACAGCAACACTAGGAGAACACATCTAAAGGGAGATTTAGTCAAGCCCAAAGGTGAGTCTGTTTGGCATCGATGTCAAAGTCGATTGTTTTTTACGTAATGCTTAGCGATATATCAACATATATTTTCTTTTCATAAAGTGTTTGTGCCTATATACGTATTAATTGACGACTTTTTTCAGTTAGCTATAAAATAGTCACGTTAAACTAACATATTATTGAAATTTCTTCCGTTGCTATCTTTTACCTTAATTAACTACCATACTATATCTTTTAAATATTAGCTCTGGTTTTTTGGTTGCATCATAAACATGCAGATGATTGTACAGGGGTTTTGATGTTTTTATTCAAACTCAATCCAAACTATTACAACTACTGTACTGTGAGACAGGTTTTAATGACAACACCAGCTTAAAATGTTTGTACATATTTCTTTACTTCATTGCCGATCAGCTAAATATGCATTGTTGGATATTATGAGGTATCGTGTTGTTAATTTTTTTAATGTAAGACTCAACAAGGCAATTTTGCAAGCTATATAGAGTATGTATTGTAGGTCTAAGTGTTTTGGTTTTCCAAGTTACGATAGCTTAAACCTTTTTGGAAACCGAATTGGTTTTGACTAAAAAAATCAATTGAATTATGATACAATGATACAGTATATAACAAGTTTTAATTTCATTAACTTCTCATATATTTTAGAGAAGGAAGATAACAATGAAATAGGTCGATAACTGTTGCAATGCGATTTGGAATTTCTTTTATGGTATAACAACAGTTCTTTTTAGATCAGTAGGGAAAACTACACTTTGAAAACAAAAATTTACTAGACACAATATTTGCTCTGAAGTTTCTTTTATTACGTTAGTACTAACACTGTCTATTCCTACAACCTTAACACTTTATAAACTATTGATGGCATGTAAAATATCTTGTGCATTTACTTCATCCATAAAAAAACTATTTAACTACACTCCTAATGGGGAAAGGGCCCTTTAAATCCATGAATGAAATCGTTGAGATACAGTATTGTCTAGTTTAAGTTTTTCAACTACACTAAACAAAATCATTGAATTCATTTGACACAACTTGAGGGTCATTTACTAACACAACATTTATTTCCAATTGAATTTTCGGGTCAGAAGCTTTGGTTTGATCAGTAATTTCATTTAGCACTTTCCATGTTAACTTAGAGTTTCCTTGACAGCTTTAAAACTTGTGTTAGCAAATTTCCCATATAGGGAATAAGCTATTATCGTAAGTCTCATGGTAAGACCTAGACTCGGGACCGATTTAATTTCTCGTTTTGAGGTCCCCAGAAGCCAAAAGTGTGAGTAGGTATGTGTGTGTGTGTGTCCGTCAGTGCGATAACTCAAGCAAAAATGATCCGATTTTGATACAAATTTAGCACAAACGTGTAAACCTTTGTTTATTTGAACGAGTTCGCAAACCTGCATAATCGGACTATGGATACGGGGGTTTATGGGGGGTTTTATGGGGTTAAAATAGATGTTTCCCAATTTTTACCCTAAAAACACAAAATTTCTTAATTTCTCTCCAAACTATTTTGTAGAGTTAAAAAAAGAAATAATTTTGTATATTGGACCATTGTTGTATGTCCAACGGTTACGGACAAAATAAAAAATGCAATTAAAAATTCCCATTTTATTCTTATGGAGAATAAATCAACTGTTGTAGTTTACTTGTTTATGGATATATTTGATCAAATTTGGAAATTTTGTTTGTTGCATACTAAGCTACCAATTTAGATAGGAAATAAATCTGACAATTTTTAGGAAATAGTTTAGTAGAAATCTAAATTCGCTTAGTCTGCAGGTTTGCTGCGGTGAGGGTATTTTTATAATTATCTTTTAACCCTTTTAAGTCTTTTTGTAATTTATTTCTAAACTCTTTACAATAAGTTCTTGTTAATTTGGATGTTTTTCACCTTAGAAAAAAGTGTATTCCCCATTTTATTCCGTAAACATATTGAATTATTGATCCAAGGCTTTATCTTTCTTATATTTTGTCTATTAATCTGAATTAGGCTATGAAACAGATTTACGTCACAGCTGCAGTGATCGCTCTCTCTCTCTCTCTCTCTCCCTCTCTCTCTCTCTCTCTCTCTCTCTCTCTCATAGTCATTGTTGCGCATCAGCTGATCGCTTTTCGCTATGTAGTAGACAGTAGACAGGTCGACGCGGTAGACAGTGTCAGTGTTGCGATTTTCTCATATTCCACTCCAAAATGCCACACACGCCGACTCCGACTGACGAACAACTTCCAGACTTCAAGAAAAACCATAAGGTAAGACAAATAAAGCATTTAACAGCAAAATATTGCAAAATATAATTTTTGCCTATAAGATGTTTTATATTAGGTTTTAAGGTTATTGTTTTGTGTGTTAGCTGGTAAGTGATGTTTTCTGTGCAAGATTAATATTGAAGTTTCTGGATGCATAAATGTTGTTATATTTATGCAAATATTCGGAAGGTTAACCGATGGGGTAAAAATGATGGACATTAGAAAGTAAACTAACAATAATTATTGAAATATTGTAATTAATTAATCTATTGAGGTACAGTTTCTTAACTGGGATGCTATTATCGATTGAAACTATCGATTCGATTAGTAAACCTTCATGCGATTTTTTCATTAACAGCAAGTTTGGTTACTTAGGTTAGGTTAAGACGGTTTAATTTTATAATTTATATAGTTAAAAATTTCAATTATTAATCGATATTTTCAATTCTATAGTTTCGATCGATATTAGCACACCCCAGTTAAGAAAAAACTGTACCCAATTTTTAATCTACGCCAAACTACAGAAAATTCAAAAAATACGTAGGATGAAAACTTGCGAATGTAAAATTACAAACATATGATTCTTTTGTTATCGCGACCCCACTAATTTTCTTCGTATGTGTGGCCAGAAAGGGTGAATATAATTTTAATATTGGGTTTTCTCATTTTTGATGCTCAAAACACAAAATTTCCCAATTTCTCTCTAGACCTTTTTAAAGAGCTTAAAAAACAAATAATTTAGTATATCAAAGTGTTTTTGTACGGTTATAGGTAACGGAAAAAAAATCAAAAAGCTGTAAATTCAAAATTCTCATGTTATTCTTATAAAGAATATTGTAAAATGTTGTAGTTTGCTTGTTTATGGATATATTTTGATCAAACTTGGCAAATTTATTTTTTTTATCCTAAGATATTAATATTTTACCGAAAAACACACTTTATTAGTTTACTTGTAGCAGCAAACTTAGGTACTCGTTAAACCTAATGTTATTTAAACAGGTTTAATTGAAAATCAATTCATATAAATGGAAATTCGCTTAGTCGGCAGGTTTGCTGTACCGAGGGTATTATATATATCTCGACTAATATAATCTATATGCAACTGTGCACTACCTCACCTGAATAAAGTATTAAATATACTACATAAATTTTTACAACAAACTTATTAAACAAAGACTTTAAACATTATGCTTAGAAACGATATTAAAATATTTATAATTACTATTATTAACATTTGAAATAAAATTAAAAACCCTATTATACGAGTGTAAACAAGTTTTAAAGTTATTTGTCTACTGGGAAATCTTTTAGCATTCAAAAGTTTAATAAAATAAATTCAGACAAATAAATAAACTATTTCCTATAAGTTGAATAACACAACTAAAATAATCTATCTTAATGATTCTGAAAAGTTTTCCCTGAAGATTACCTGAAAAAGCTGGCTAATCTTTCTTTGTCTCAAATATACAAAAAACATCCTACCGAAGTATAGTTATATAACCCTACCTGGAAGATATCAATTAGTTGTATAAGCTGTTCTTTCGAAGAAAACCACTCATCTTGCAAGTGTAACTCCTTTAGAATTAACCAACTTGGAAATAATAAAACACAGTCCAACTTGTGATTTTGAATTATAAGTAAATAATTCAAGCTAGAACTGACAGAAAAATTTGATGTACATTGTTTATTAATTTGGCCTAGCAATATTTTTTTCCTCGGTTACTTTGTATACGACTTTATTTACTACGAATTTAATTATGATATTTTAATTTGTTAGATCAATATAGAGTTTGTTTTGTTTTTAAATGTTAACACTTTAGTTCATAGTTGTATTAGATTATTAAAATAATCAAATAGAGCACAGACGGAAAATTAAGTCATAAGATGTACATGCATCATCGACACACCCACACACTCACACACATAAAAAGGTTTAGGCAATGTCATAATTTGAGCTCCATTAGAAAAAAAAACACAATTATTTTGGAGGATTTTATTATGTGTTCCTTACCATGGAATTAAGTAAAACTATGACAACCTATGGACACATCACTATCTATTTATGATGTCTGAAACGAAAAGGCTAATCTTTTTTAGTGCGACTAAAATACTGCCTGTGTTTATAGTCCTTTAAAATGATACGTAGGTTCTAAAAATATTTAACAATAAGATGCAACCCACTTTAACCAGTAGGTACTGAAAATTGTCAAAAATCTGGAATTTTGTTTTTTTTAACTCAATTTTTTTTAGATTTTCCTCTACATAAAAAGCACAACAATTTGAGGTAAACATACACATTTCATGGAGAAAAAATATTTGAAGTTGATCGTACACACATTTTTTACGAATTAATTATGTTAGGTCGGTTTTGTCAGTCTAATCATTGACTATCCCTTGTCTGTGGTCTTATACAACCCAGAGAGTGAATGATTAAAAGTAGCAGTCGTACTGCTGCATAGCGGCACTCAAGTAGTTCGTCAAATCACACCTACGAGCGCTAGTGTTGTCGTGTCTGAACAACATGATCAACTAACAATCATACGCAACCCACTTTAAAGTTCTTAAGCTGTGGCTGTAGTTTCGAAAACTGAAAGAAAACTAAATATTGTCTCTCAAATGTATACTGTAGTACATTCTCAGTATTTTTACCTAGCAATTTGTAGAAAGCTGGTCCTAATACAATATACAGGGCGTTTTGCAACCCAAATTATAATTACCGTGAGACATCTTTTAACGTCAAAACAATCTTATAAGTTATGTTGATATACCTGGTTTCCTTACTTAATTTCCGATCAGCTGTTATGCATTGTTGCATAGTAAATAGAGTTAACAGGGTTAGACAAAAGTGTGGACACGCCCTATTACCGTTTGATGGGTTACAAGAAAACCAAACTCTGCACACCTCTATACGGCATAAACATACTCTTTTTTGTTGGTATCGCAATTTCTTCCGGATCTCCGAAATGAGTATCTTGGGGGCAACTCAGAATTTTAAGTGTTAAGTCCCACCGAGCAACACCTAATTTGAAAGACCATCATGTTAAAAGAATATCAGCGAAAACAACATGTTTCTTATAATTCAATGCACACTCAGACGACAAAGAAAGGTTCGCATGTATTTGTGAATTTGTGTGTGAATGTATGGGGAGTATGACTCCGGTTCTGTTTTAGGTCGCACCCTTGATGACCACAGCGTCTGGAGCTCCTGTAGAGGACAAGACCTCAACACTGACCGCTGGGGTTGTCGGTCCTATAGTTCTGCAAGACCTGACACTTCTAGACGAACTCGCATACTTTGACCGGGAGAGGATTCCGGAGAGGGTGGTGCATGCAAAAGGAGCAGGTGAGAATGATTCACTCTCTTATAACTTGTATCGTATTTCACATACAGGAAATAAACTGTTACCGTAGCCTGACCGATTTACTTTTTGTTTTGAGATCCCCAGATGTCAAAAACACGATCCGTTCAAATTCAAATTACATGTCTTTTAGCTCAATAACTCAAGCAAAAACCACCTGATTTTGATTAAATTTGCTACAAACGTGTAAACCAACATTTATTCGAACGAGTTCGAACTATACTGAACCTGTTTTGTTCAAATCAGAATGTAGGCCTACTTATACATAAGTGCAATGTACTAACAAAGGATGTTGTATTATGGTCAATCAATATCGAGAGACGGGAAAGAGTTTGATTCCGTTAACGGAAGGAAAGTATAGACCGTGAAAGTGTAACATCAGTCGGGATTCGTTCCACTGCAGAATCGGTCAGTCAACCTAGACTACTTTCATCCGGTTAACAACTCATACAACATTTTTATTCAGGGTACAAATTGAGATCCATTAACAAAATAATTCAAATTTGAGGTGGTGTCCATCTTTGACTACTGCTAGAACTAGGGGAATGTCTACTTTAGTAACCATGGCAACCATAGGCAAACTCGGCCTAGTTCTGATGAAGTCCCTGTTGGAGTCCCACACTACATACCCACCACCTGTGTGCGTATATGCATTTCTCTCCCTAAAAAACGTTAGTACTGTAACCATAAGTGAATGTTACAACGCTTAACTAGCTAAACTATACAGGGCGAATCTGTAGATGTATCAGGGCGAGTGATTCCAAGAAAACTGTTGGTTCTATACAATGATGAATTAAGTTTTACCCCTCTAGAATAAACCCAAGTAATAACGTATATATATTTTAAATGTTTTTAAATACACACTGCACCAAAAAAAAACAAAAAAACGAACGTTACTATTCACTAGTTCGAATTTCACAACTATCAAATACATACATATGTCACATATACATACATACATACATACATACAGATGAATACATACATACAGATGAACACACATACATACATCATTTTAAAGCTCTATGTAATACGAAAATCTTGGTGAAATCAACATTTGAATATTCTCATTTGTTTCGAAATGGCGGCCCTTTAAGGGGACAACTTCGTATTATTTTGAATAACCTTTATTCTTCTTGAACACACAGATAAATAGTTTCACGTTCCTTAAGAGATAAGCTTGATTTCGGTATGCGATACCAATACTATCATAAAAAACTAACTTTTCAATGAAATATATATATATGTATATATATTAATATCAACACGGCCAAAACTAAAAAAAATCAACTAATATAATTTGTCTATCAAATCGAATAAAATTTGGAAATTATTGAAATTTAAAGCAGCTATTCCCCAATGCGAAGAAGAATAGATGTAGTATTAGTAGTATTATCTATAAACAGAACGTGGAAAACTCAATTAAGATATCAAGGGCCTGTATTTAGCGTCAAATGATATTAGGTTTAAAAAACAAGGATATTTCCATTAGTTCATCGAACTGTTATACAACCTGGCCCGCCGTAGGCATATCACCCGTATCATTAATTGGTCTGTGGTCACATTGTCAAACTATTTTGGTTCCTTGGGCAACAGTTTAATTTTTTAAACGAATGAAAAGGGAGAGCCTAACCTTTTAAAGGAGCTGCAATTATTTTATTTTGTACAACATTAACCCACCATCACCAACATGAACTTCAAACAAAGACATCAGAGTTAAAACTAAAATCAGTTGATTTTAAGCTATTATTACAGCTTTCGTCATTTGATAGGGTAAATATTAGTTTAAAAGTCCTCTTGACGTTTCTTCATTATTGTCTTTTAATTTTGTAATTTAAGTTATAGTGAACTTTCTGGAAGTTGAAGGAAGTTCACGATGTCAGTGTGTTAAAGAAACGGTAACAGTGAAATCAGCTGATTTAGTGAGCCCATGAATAAAAAGTAAATTAACAATTTTGCTACTGTTTACTAGTGTGGCAATGCGATCATTTCCACGCAGCGGTAGGAAAAATATATAAAACATTGATTCAACAGTTAAAATATAACTTGTTCTTTAGTTATTTACACTCTTTCCTATGTTACTAGATGTTCATAAATGACCAAACAGAGATTTTTTTACAGACTTGGTCATCTAAAACCTTTCAAAACTGAATGTTTTTAATCCTACGTGATTGCAACTTTATAATGCTCAACCCTATTCGCAGTGCAATTAAAGTTGCCAAGCATGAAAATGCAATCGCTCTACGAATGTCGATCACATAACTTGCCTTCTAAACAAAAGTTGATCTTTCCCTCTTCGTAGTTGAATCATGGCCAGCTGTACTGAAAGTCTAATTAGTAATTAGTAGCAGTAGACAGTGCAATAGTCCAATTAAACATACTAAGGTCAGCAAAACTCGTTAATGCAACACAAAGTTGAGTGAGTGACGTGTAAAAACATGCACAGGTGTGGTGAGCGGAAGTCAAATGTTTTCTACGCGAACTTTCAACTTTGATCAGTGTTTTAACGGAAAGATAAAAATATACAGAGTGTCCCTGAACTCTCTACCGACATTTTAAGGTATGATTCCTGGAAAAATATAAACTATCAGTATGTTGGTGTACGACGGTTGGTAACCACGCAAAGACCTATTTTGAGAAAACAATTTATTTTTATATTGAGTGTGTTTTTTTATAAAATGTTAATGTGGATATGGTATGAACCACATCTGTTAACTTTGTCTTCCTAAGATTAACATGGGAATTTCAAATTTACAATTTTCTGAATTTTCTTCGTAACCAATCAATATACAACAACACTTAAAGATACTAAATTTATTGCTTGAAGCTCTTCGAAATTGTGATAGATAAATTGGGAAATTTTTAAATGTTGATGGTAAAAAAAGAACAATTTTAAATTTACAGTTTTGAATTTTATCCATTACCTTTAATCCTACATTAACGCTTCGATATACAAACGTACACAATGGTTTTAATAAAAATTTAGCATTTTATGTATAAGGAAAAACGGAAAGTAATTACACCATTACCTTTTACAACTTTCCATAGGCCTTTCCTAAAATTAACTAGCCTTAACAAAAACTTGAAACAAATTATCTTCAATAAATAAATATATACCGTAACAATAAATAACACGCATTTATTCTTAACTTTAACAATTAATTGAGATAACAATTCAACAATAAATTACGTGTAATAATTGATTTTAACTTTAACAATGATACAATTATCATTGCTAAACTGAAATTAACAAAAGCATTTTTTCACTTCATTAAAAATTACATTGATGACTGGAGTTTAATTTGGAACACAATGTAAAAAGTTACTTTACATAAAACCTGCGTTTGAGCTGCCCTCTGCATTTATTCTTTACTAGATAACTATATTTTACATATCTTTTGCAGACGGACGTTAATTTGAAGGTATGGTGTTTTTGGCCTCTTGGGACATGAAAACGTAAAAGTAAATCGGACCCCACCTCCCACCCTTTTAAGGTCAAGTGGGTAGCAAGGGAGCCTTGCTAGGAATTTGAACGCTTGCGAGCCAGCACTTTTCAGCGCCGGCTCTATTTAAAAATTGTGATACCACATTGCCTTCCAACATCCAACGTAGTCCGCTGGTCCTGCGACGCTCCGGACGGGGCTTCGAAGATTCCTAGTTGTACGAGATCACAAAATAAGGTGTAGGAGAATTAGGACTCCTATAATAATGCGAGAACCTGGCGGCAAACTACTAGCGCACCCTGTTGATGGCCACGTGTACTGTTTGCAAGGCGTAGTTTGGGAAATGTCCGCAAGTCCGCGTAGCTGACGAAGTTGGTGGTTGGGGGGTTGGTTTGGTATTGGTGGTTTTGGTTTCGGCGGTGGTTGGTGGTTGTCATCTGTCATTGTCAAGCGTTGTTGAGATGGTTTTTGTTTTTAATCAAAACAAACTTAACTGTCACGGCAATATTTTGAGGTTAGAGAATCCAAACGTTCTTGGTTTCACAAGAAGGAGAAAGGAGTGATAACCATTTTGTGTTGATGACGTGAGATAGTTACTTAACTACAGAACATCACGGAAGTCTCGAAGTCTGTAAATATTTTAATTACATAATTATTCTTTTGACGCTGCTAATCCAATACTTCTGGTCTCAAGCAAAGGAGGAGGTAATAAGGTAGGCCCTACGTATAACTTACATATATTATGGACTTGTCCTTGTCTGCCATTTTACTATTTTTATTTGATTGATCATAATCATAATCAATTCTGTAATACAAATTTGAAAAATGAACTATCGTCATAATATATAGACTTCAAACTCTTAACTTAGGCCTAATTCTTAAGAACTTATCAAACCATATTAACCTTCCAAGTGTCCATAGTTTTGGTCTTATTGTTCGCCCATTTATTGCGCAATCGCAGGGTTTTATTAAAATGTATCTTAGAAACTTAAAAACAATGTAAAGTATACTGTTTTATATATAATTTTGTTTGAAAAATTATGGGCTTCAATGTAACATATAAAACGTTAAAAAAATGTTCAACAATTTTTGTGGGGTTAACATTTCTCAAAAACTATAAAATAAATGAAAAAAATTTATGTTTGCGCTCAATAAATTGTTATAATTTATAGGTCTACAAATATTTTAAAATATTCACTTTGTTCAGAATTTTATGAGGATTCCAAAAATATAATAATATAAGTTAAGGAAGTAGGTTTGCAAATAAATAAGTTATGGGCAAAAAACAGATTTCGGTACATAGGCCCTAGCTTTTAGATAAGAATGCATAGCCTAACCATAGCTAGGAATCTGGCTGATAATTTACATCAATATCACTACCTACTTCTTCAGGATCATCAACCAGCCCTTCAAAATCACTTAAATCTTCTTATAATGCACCATTTATATCACTACTTTTGATTTTTAACACTAAAACAATGATAAACGTAATAAAACACATCAGTCATCGGTGTGAGGTTAACCAAGTTGTTTAGAAATACGCACGTCAGCTGTCTGCTACAATATTTTCGGAAATAAATTAATAGCGTCTAGAATTAGACATCAGGAAGAAGCTCAGAATATGCCGAAAACAACGATTGGTACTAATCTCGATCCAGTTCAATCCGATTCAGTCAGTCCCAGAGCCTTCGTCGTAAACGATATTTGTGGGTCGCAAAAGCGACGCATAAGACCACGGCGGGTGTGTTGTGCATCGATTACGCGACACTTAACACTCTGAGGGTTAAGGGCCTTTTTTTTATGCCAGGCGGCAAGTCGCTGCTTGTCGGACGACATTAGTGGCAGCGACAAGAAAAGAGCAGGGTAGCGGAATTTTACCCCCTGGCCGGATATAGAAATTAAATTAGTGAGGATGATGAATATTCTTCAAAATAAATTGTTTTTCCACAATAGTATAACTTAATAAATTGTTTACGCCTACAGTAGTACAATGGTCACCCAATTAATGATTTAAATGGACTAGGCCTACTCAGTTTGTTTACACACACATTAACTAACAGAGTTGGCCCCAAAAGTCAAATCCCTAAACGCGAATATCAAAATGAAACAGCGAAACCTGTTTACTTAGTTGAGATTAAAGATAGGCTAATTAGTACTACAATGTTTACTATTCAATCAAAATTAAAATCAGAAAGTTAATTAATCTCACTAATTTCTATATCTGCTCAGAGAGTAAAATTCTGGGGGTTAAAATCCTGGGTTAAAAATCCAGTTGATGTACACCTTCAGTTGCCGAAGCGGGCAGGGGGTCAAACTCCAGGTTTTATTGCTAATCTAATTTATCACACTCTATCTATTTTCATTGACTCCCTAATCCGCAGGGGTAAAATTCTGCCCGCGAACATATTTTGGATCGCTCAAATTACAACATTATTACTCACGTTACTACGTGACATCAGCTTTGCTCAGCGGGATAAAATTCTGGCGACCCAATGAGCCCAGTGTTGAGGTTGTGCTCCAGAACAATAGTGTGTAGGCCTACCTATAGTTTAACAGATTGAGGCATGTACCTAGGCCCGTACCACAGAAAACATATTACTATAACCCAGAATGCCAACCGCGTGGTAAAAAGCATTAAGTGTTTTGAGATAGCTTTGCCTTTGAGGCAGCGCCACCAGCGTTGCTATGCTGAGTGCATGGCAACGCTGGTGGCGCTGCCTACGATTGACAGGCAAAGCTCTCTCAAAACACTTGCTTTCTACCAAGCGGTTGGCATTCTGGGTTATAGTAATATGTTTTCTGTGCCCGTGCCCAGCTTTAACAGGCCCCAGTAACGATAAATCCTAAAATCAAAATTCTTAATGGAGTTTAGAAAACAATTATTGATAAATAAACATTCGACTTTGTAACTTACATTACACTAATGTATAGGCCTACATTTTTATCAAACTAAATTAACAAAATAAGTAAATAATGATTTTCTTAATATTTGCACATGTACCGGTACCATTAGTTGACACATGAATTTTTGGATTATACCAATAGTTGACACCCAATGTAACAGTGTAGTTGACATTTTGATTCATTTAGGCCTAACTATTCTTATGAAGGCTAAAATATATTTCCAGATATTTAGTTTTAGATACAGACACCATAACATTTTAAAATTTATTAGAAAGTATAAGTTAATAATCTGATTTGGTTTTGTGGTACTAGCCACTTATATTTTCCCTACTGTCATGTCTTCAATGGCCTTCTGTAATTTGATCTTGGCTATAGAACGGCATACTCCCCCTTGTAGGTGGCATTTTATTACGTAAAATCATAAAACTTTAATACAAACAATAGCCCATAATTTAGATACCTTGGGTTTAGTTTGGTTGTTACTTAAATTATGTGCCATTAAATGACAAAAATAACTGTACTAAGAAAATTAGAGTTTAGGCCTACGCACCGAAAGTTGACAGGGTATGTTCCAGTAGTTGACACCCCTGTCTACTATAAGAAAATAAGGAATTCTGGCCTATGTACCAAAAGTTGACCTAGGGTATGTTCCAGTTGACAGGGGGTCAGAAGCTTCTTAGGTTAAAACATTATAATTGTGTACTAAAATATCACATATATATTCCTAAAGGTATAGTGTTATCACAAAAAATCTTTACACATTGACTGCGCCAAAAGATGCCACCCCTGTCATCTTCTGGAGCACGCTTGTGTTAGCTGTAACAATAGATGACAGGCCTGTAAATCATTACCTATTAATCTAAAGCTAAAAAAGTAAGTTAAAATAACATCTATATTAATAATTATATTATAAATCAAGTACCGAGCTTGAAATTGAGTAGGCCTAAATTATTATTCAAATAAAGTTATTATCAACCCTGTACCTTGTCCAAAGCCAGAAGAAATCATAAGATGAGAGGCTTCAATGGGTAAAGTGAACTTTGTAGCTCCACCACATTTCAAACACATAGCTAACCAAGGGTATGTTGGAAATAAAAATGAAGGAAAACATCTGAAGTTTTTTTAAGATATTGAACACAAAGGAACTTTAACATGAACTCTTATTATTAGAGTTAGATTTGTAAATTGTCAACTACTGACTCGGTGTCAAGTACTGGTACATTTACCTTAGGCTGGGCCCTCCTCCCCTTGAAGTATATGTTTGACGGGGCCTGGACCCCAGTAAAATAGTTCAGAAAACCCGGTCTGAGTACAGCCCTGCATGTACCCGGTAGTGTTGTACGCAATCTACACGTTAATATGTAAAAAGGGCGTTGGGCTGTTCATTCTATTGATAAGTTCAGGTTCAGATCAGTAATGAGATAAATCTTATCTTCTTGGTTACGGTACTTCCTATGTGTTTTATTGAATGAAGTTGACGTGACAAAGCTTAAGTTTCAGAAAGGTGGGACAGTATAACATAGGCTACTACAAGTTAGTATACAAGTCATTATAAATTCATCAATTGATTTGATCTACTTTAGTATTCAAGTGCTAAATACAGAAGTTGTATTCCACTTTATCCATTAGGAGGATAATTTCATTGTAGTTAGCTTGGATATGGAATTCAGATAAAATTTGGCACATTTTTTATTTCATGCTAAGCTATGATCATTTTATTAAAAAACACCTCATTGCTCATTACCTTTCCTGCTGTAGAATCAGAATCAGAATCGTTTATTGCCATAATAATACAAAAATGTAGGCCTACAGCGCAAACATCACCAAAACTAAACAAATAAAATCAGACCCATTAAAATAAAGATACAAACTTCAAGAGGTAGTTACATTCTATTTACATTTAAAAAACAAAGAAACACTGTAAAATTCCTTATCAACTAAATATTCCCTCAAACCATGCTTAAATTTGTTTAGGCCTAAATCATTATTGCCCTTGATAGCATTGGGAAAAGAATTGAAAAGACGGGTACACATGGAGAATGGCTGGTTTTATGAAAAGTGGTACAAAACAGTGGTATAGGTAGGTCAACGTTCCTTCTAAGATTGAAGCTGTGCTAAAACCGAATCAAGCTAACCAAATCAAAATTGATAATATTTATATTTAATCCAATAATATATTGCAGGTTCTTTGCAACACTGTAGCCATATATACCTCAGACATGTTAAAGAAAATATTATAAAAACAAATTGAATCAAACCAAACCAAGATAAGCCAGTTGTATGTCTCCTTTCTAGGTGCGTTTGGATATTTTGAGGTAACCAACACCCAGATAACCCAGTTTTGCAAGTCAACGCTGTTCTCTGACATCGGGAAACGAACTGATGTTGCGGTGAGGTTCTCCTTCGTTTCGGGAGAGAGTGGATCTGCCGATACAACAAGGTAACAAGGTTACTTTCCAGGGGGTTCAACTTAACACATTTTCAAGAAGCAAACCGTTTGAAATGAAAATGAATCCTAAGAAAATATAAGGTCAAGTGTAAGAAAGGGCCATGTAGCTCAAATTTTGCCTGTTGAAATTAACAGTATTTTTTATTTAATCAAACTATAAAGGTTGGGCGATTGTTAGTTATCTGGACCTACTAAAGGTAGTACAGTAAATGTAGTATGAAACAACTTCCGTATAAGAAAGAGCAGTGAGAGATGTGAATATTATAGGTACGGTTCAATTGAGCGACAAATCTAGCTGCTAGGCTGTTTCTAGGTTGTAGGCGCGACATAGCGGACCACACGATCAAATGGAATCAGCGACGATTGAGCTTGTTGTCCCTAACTACGCCTGGGCCCGCTTCCTAGCCAACTGTCCCGACTTGCCGCGGCTAGTTAACCTCTGGCTATAAGGCGTAGCATTGTAGCCATATGAGAGCGTTCACACATGCAGTGGGTCGTCACGCTGCAGCTTACATACTTGCCTTTATCAATGCTCATTCTTTTACATCACGCCTGTGATTTAGTTGATGGACTTGTCACTTGTATGAACTGATCGCCAAATTCTAGTCACAGCTGGTCAGCTAGATGTGTCACTCTATGAACCTAGTCTTATCAAATTAGGTATGAAACTGCAAATCAATATTGCTTTCCATGTAATATACGATTTTTAACTACCTAAAAAAAATTTTCTTTGTAAGCAGTAATTACCGTGGTATTTATAGCGATACTTCAGACATATATAAACTTTGTTTCTTCTCTTATGAATGGTAAGACCTATATCAGAGCCTACTTTACTTTTGCTAGGTTAAACTATTGATGAAGCAAAATGACAAGTAAAATGAAACCTAACAACTCAAGTTGTTTTAAGTAAACATTGTCTATGTCATGTTAAAGAATATAATAATACATTATAATACTGCTTGCATGTGCCATTATTTACATAACACAATCTTTATCAAACATAAAATAACCATATCACACATCATATTTGACTTAATTCAATTAACTCCCACTGGAACACAAGGCTTCAACTAGTATTCTCCACTGGTCCCTGTCAGGAGTGACTCTCTTCACCTCTTAAACTACAGTACCATACACCAAAAGTTATAAGATACATTAACACATACACATAGAACACACATAGAAGAAATAACAGCGCCAACGCAGAGTAGACTCTGAGATCGGGTAAAGAAAGACAAAAGTAATCTGTGATGTGAGGGAAGAGACAATGAATGTACTGTGTCATCCTCGCATGTAGAAGCGCTGCAATCTACGAAGAGTCAATGAAGACAAAAATATAGTCGTCAGAAAAAACCAGTAACAAGAAAGAATATACACCACTTTTTAGTACCGTACCCAACTAGATGGACATTTTCTCAAAAGTCCCCTAAAATCAATTTTGGTCTTTTTCTCCTAGCCTTCCTCAAAATAAGGGATTATATGGTTTCATTACTAAAATGTGTCTTATCTCGAGATGGATTATTTAATTGAGTAAAATAATGGTTGGTTGAATTTTTTATTCTTGTCTCCAGTAAATTTCCTCTGTAGATTTACCGTAAATCCACTATTATCTCATTCTTAGAACACCATGATTTTGGATTTTCTGCTCTAGTTTTTCAAGAGAAATTAAAAAAGTATTTCCCCTAACGTAAACCATAGTCTGAGCTCTAAGCAGGCAACATCCCACACGCAACTGTTGTGCCTGTGAATATGTACGGTTGAGTTATGCGATCGCTTAAGTCATAATTGAACTTATATAGACATTTTTAGTTTTTGTAAATTTCTTATAAAAAATAAAACTACAGCAGAAAATCTTAAACCACGGTGTACACATTTTTACCACTTAGACTTTTACATATTTGTATGTAATATACTTTCTTACTACTGTGGCCACTGGTACCCTAAATTGTATTTTGCCTCCATACATCTCTGCATCTTGCATCCTCCTTCCTTCTTCCCAGTTTTCTTATGTCCTTTTCTACTTGGTCCCACCATTTCTACCAAGGGGTCTTCTTCCTTCTGGGTTGTTCTCCAGTACTTTCTTTGGCAAAGAGTTGTCTTCTTTCTTAAGAAAACAGTCCTGACAATCTCATCCTTCTACTCTGTACCTCAGCGACAATATCTGGATCTCTAAATAATTCTCTCAGTTCCAAATTATGCTTTAATCTCCATTGTCCATCTTAAAAAGTCGGCCTGTACACTTTTCTCGATATTTTGTTTTCAAATACTACATTATAACTTTTCAGTTTTTTACTTAAAATCCAATTTTCTGATCCATGCAGGAGAACTGGTCTGACGATGGTCTTATATTCTGAGTTGGATGTGGAATAGTATTTTTGAGCTCAATAATTTGTGGAAAGCTGAAAAAAAAATTTGCGTTAAATTTAATCTATTTTGTATTTCTACGTCTTCATTACTTGTGAGGATGACTCCCAAGTATTGGAAATTAGTAACTTTTTGAAATTTAAATTCTTTAATCTCTTGGTTCTGATCCCTTAGTTGATGATCATTTTGCTCTCTTCCGCATGTCTTAACATTTGTATAACATATGATAAAAAAATCATAACTCAGACAGAGTATATGTTCTCTGACTTTAGTAAAAAATCACTTTAAAAATATTGTTTGATAACAATAACAACCGGGTTTCATTGACAACCTAGGAAATGATTTGCTGTTCACTTTTTTACAATTTTGCTTTTCAGAGATCCTCGAGGCTTTGCAGTAAAATTTTACACGGAAGAAGGCAACTGGGATTTAGTTGGTAACAATACACCAATCTTCTTCATGAGGGACCCTCTTCTTTTTCCCAGTTTTATCCATACACAAAAAAGAAACCCTCAAACACATCTGAAGGTAAGCAAACAAGTACCTGAACCAATATGGTAAATAATAATATGAATATAATGGTAGCATAGTTTACAAAGGATCTTGTCTTGTTTGAAAATGATTGTGCATATCTATGCATAGTCAAAAAGTAGAGATGATTGATTAAGAATTGTAAAAGTCAACATTAAAGATATTATGTTTTGATCATTTTTTGGTGTATAAGATGGCGTTTTAATAATTTAAAAGTCAATAGTGTTTAGCAGTGCTCGATTTGTAAAAAAGAGGCGCAGGAACTGTAACCTATTTAATTTGATTTGTACCTATTTAAGCCAATATTTTTATCCTTCCGAAAGAGAGTTACCGGAACTCTGTTCTGCTGCGTTCCCCTTGCAAATTGAGCACCAGTGTTTAGGAGGATTCTACATGTCTATAAGATTTTCACAGAGACCACAGAATTAAAATAGACTGGCTATGCCTTAAGCCCTTACATTGCGGGATTTGAAGCCACGTCCGCCTGTTTTAGAAACGTCGAGCAGGCATAGGAATGATTTTCTGTCTGTGTAATGGAATTTCTTACAAATTACAAAACACTTATGCCACACAACTTACAGGCATATTGATATATAAAAAACAAAAATAGCAAATCATCAAATCAAGTGTGGTAGCTCTTTCTAATAACCACTGTGAGGGTGACTGACAGAGGTAGGGTAATCCACCCACTGCTAGTGAAGTTCGGCCAAAGTTTCTGTGCGCTCGACCAGATCTCGTTTGGACTAGTTAAGGGGGAAGGTGGGGGTACTTTTGTGAAAACATTAATTTTGTGTCTTGCTACTCACTCACTTCCACCCCTAGCACTACCAATAACCGGTGCCGTATGTTTTAATTTGGCTATACTTGAATAGATACAACTTCCGTATCGGCGTGGTGGGGCGATCTGACGTTCGAGTAAGAGGGAGAACTGCCAGGTTGACTACCTGACCAATAAGAGCAAGGAGAGCCTGACGCGGTTTCCAGAGCAACAGGCGCTGTTGCCATATCGCACTGCATCTCCACGCCCGCACGCACATGTGCAGTTCCTCCAGTGTTATGACAGTGACTACTTCGAGTACAGTATACTGTCCGCGAGAGTTTAGAAGTCCCCTAAGCTAGAAAAAAAACTTTTTGATGTTGGAATAGTCATCACATTTGTATTTCACAGTATATTTTGGGTTTACAACAGAAATGTCGTTTCCCACCAGAAGTCAGTAAATATATCAAAGAGCGTTCCAAACATAGGGAATAATTTATTTTGGAACAAATGTTTCTGTACTTCTAAGCTGTTCTGTTTACAACACTTCCCTATCAGCAGATGTTCTCTAACTATCAACAGATAACACGAAATTACAGCACAGCACTCAGTGTAACGCTGCGTGTGTTGTTGTAAGCTGGCGCTGGCGTGCATATTCTGTGTCTGTGAGGATTGAGGAAGTTGCAGTTCCCGCTCACTGCGACTAACAACGCGGCAACATCGCAACGGCAGTCTCCCCACTGCTCGCTACCCCTCCACACCTCTCCGATACGGAAGTTGTATCTAATCAACTATAGTAGCGAACCGTCCGCACGCACAGAAGTTTTGGCCAAACTGTACCTGGCGACTGCGCCGTTCTAGGGTGACTCATCACTGCGGCCGCCATGCTGGATGGGTGTGAGACTTTGCGACTGGCCTAACTCCTACGTTTGACATGCATGATCTATTTTAATTCTGTGGTCGCTAGATTTTCAGTACCAATGAGATGACAGTTCAGTAATATGTAGCGATAACACTACTCTTAAACTTTTCTTTAAAACAACTTATTCTCTGTATGATCTCTTCATATTTACTGTATTTACTGGCAAGAGTTTGATGGTCCCAAATTTCTAAGATCCAATCTTACCAGCTCCAATGGTGTGAAAGTGCCACAACAGATGACTTGGCATTGATGTAAATCATTAGGTGCAACTTAAAAAACGTCAAACACATAACTGTCTCCTTATGTTGTTTAAGTAAGAAATAAGCCATTTACTGTTAGTCTTTAAATAGTCTTTTCTGAAACATGTCATAACAAAAACTAATATTTATAAATCTGTAAACAAAAACAACGATTTAGATCATATGTTATAGTTAATTAATGAATCAACATATGACAATATTCCTGTACCATCTCCCCCTTTTAAACTCATAAGTTCAACTTCTGTAAGGTTCTGAATGATCTCCCGGATTTACTTTGTGAAACTATTCTTGAAGGAGTCTGAAGATGCTTTATATGGGGATGAGACGATGGATTTTGAAGATGCGTTGGTTGTGGATGATACAATGCTTCTGTAGTATTTCAGGTTTCCTCTACCTTCTGAAAGAGATGCTGTCATATATGTTTTCTTTAGGGTCATTCTTTCAGAGATGTATTGTGTTTCTTCTACTAATCTAGAGGTTAAATACCTTGTTGCCAACGTAATCCTTGGTGGACTTAATGGCTACCGGTTTCAACACTTATGATGTCATTGTCATGCCTAGACGTGGTTTTTTCTCCTAGGAGGTCATCAATAAGTCTTTAAAAACACATAACGAGACAAACAAAAACGAACACGAACACACATTTTTAACGAATAATACTGTATGGCCATACAACTCACGGCGCGGCTGCGGGTTCAGGGTATAGGTCTAGCTAGACTGACCATCGCCGTGTCCTTCCCCTCCCCTCCTATCCTTTGTTGTTATCAGTGCCATTGTCTTCTGATCAATTTGTATGAATGAGGCTGCTTCGTAAATAATGTTTGACTCAAACAATGTTTTTTCAATGAGGATGTGTTGGGGATGTTTCTTGCCAGCCTTGAATATCTCATATTCTTCGATTGTATCCAGGAAACTACCTCTTTTTCTATAAAAATGTAATATATTGATGGATTTGTCAACAGATGAGACATTGTGGTTATTACTTATCAGATGATCAGCAAATGCAGAATTGGGTTTATGGATGGATGGTTTTGGTAGGTGTTCCTTATATCTAGTTTTGAATGAGCGGGCGGTTTGTCCAATATAAAAACTAGAGCAGCTGTCACAATTAAGTTTGTAAATACCAGATCCTTCCGATTGATCAGTAGTAGACGTGGTTTTCGCTCCTAGGAGGTCGTCATAAAGTCTTTAAAAACACATAACGAGATGAACAAATAACAAAAACGAACACGAACACACATTTTTAACGAAAAATACTGTATGGCCATACAACTAAATACCAGTTTTGTAAATACCAGATCCTTCCGATTGATCAGTAGTAGATTTATTCATATTGCTTCCTAATGCAGATGAGAGTCTATTGTTAGTACTGAATGATACTACAACATTGTTCTTTGACATTTCTTTCTTCAATGTGCTGTTAAAGTACGTGCCAAACTCTGTAGATATATATATTGGTTTGTTTGTTCTCTTGTTGGTGTGGATATATTTATCTTTGTGTTTCTTAACCAGTTTTTCAATAATAATACTATTGTACCCATTGGACACTGCAATGTATTTTAGCGTGTTTACCTCTTCCTTGTAATCTTCTTCGGACAATGGAATTGATAATAATCTATTGACAAAACTATGGTAAGCGGCTAATTTCTGATTTTGAGAATGAGATGTTATGTTGTTTGTGGTGGAAGGTTTTCGGTCACTTCTTATAGTCAAGTTTTGGAAAAATTATTATTGAGCTGCCTTTATCGGCTTTGCAGACCACGGCGACGTTGTCAGTGATCTTATCTCTAATGCCTGCCGCTACCTGTCTCAGTGACCTGTGGTTGACATGTCTGGAGGTATTGTGCCGATTGTTAACTACATGTCTAGCCTTATTTACAATACTTGCACGTGCCAATACCCTTGCATTCTCATCTTTTATAGTTGTTATGGCAGCTTCAGAGTGTAATATGTCTGATAATATGGATTTGTCTCCTGTTTTTGAAAAATTAAAATTAAGCCCTTTATCCGGAAGGCAACACCTCAGAAATGTGTTTCTTCTTTCAACACTGCCATCGTTATGTTTTAAGAGGTGAGATCATGGCCCTTTCCCATTTCTTGTTACTGACATTTTACACTAATACATTTTGACGAACATGAAAGTTTTCGTTGTTGTGTAAAACATTACAGTCATGATACATCTTTTGTAGAAGTTGTTTTTCAGGACAGTTCTTGGTTTGAAGTCCTGATTATCAATACAAAGTGTAGTTCCAATAAAGTGACTGTTAAAGAGTTGAGAAGTGGAGTAACCCAAGCTTGGATCATTTTGATGGTTTAACAAATATTAACTACAAATACTTTTTGTTTTCTCTTGCATAGCTTTGAGTATCCCCACTGCCTTTTCAGCTAAACCAATTGATTTCAGATGGTAAGGACTTGATGTTATTATTGAAAACTGCCATTTTTTAGCGACTTTTGATCTTTTGACATACAACACATGATAGTACCATACTGCAAACAACCGAGTTTATACCTTGCTAAAATAGTAAAACTGATCTTTTTCCACTATTTTAGAACCTCTCTCTGTCTTTTAGAAGTTGTTTGTCAAATTTTGTTTCAACAAACCTATTTGCTACCCACAAATTCATTGTTCCTTGAAGTTTCCTTACTCACTGAAAGACAATTATCCATCAAATTTCTTTTGATACAGGTTTTCAAGACATTTGATTATATTTTTAACCATACATCACATTCTTATAATACCCGATATGCTCAGAATGTTTGAATAACTGCCTCTCATTCACTAAAGTTTTACTCAAAGATCAATTCCTCCTACATTTTGGAAGTTTTATACCATAACATTATCTCCCGTTGTGATTCTTATCAATTGTTTCATTCTCCTTCGATTACAATTTACAAGAAATGCACTACTGGCTGCTTGATGGAGTGGGGTGTAGAAGAATCACAACACCTTATCAAAGCAGAGTACAGGTGGACTAGACCGTACTTGTTTTCCACTGTATTACTTAACAACTTTACTACTAAACTACATTTATGTCCATACCCTCAGTTTTGTTTCATTCCCTCAACCCGCCTCAATTCATTCATTAAGCTTCGGATTTGTTACTTTATACAAGTTACTTTACATTTTTCAAGTTTCACTAGTAACATTTCTACTTTCAACACATACATTAAGTAAGTCATTGATAGCGACTGAGCCTATGCACAGGATTCCAGCCCATGTAAGCTTATTTCCCAAATATTTTACTTGAACATTGCTTTGTGTGAAACATATAATTTGTTGTCATTATTTAAGTTTTTAGTTAGCCTATTCATTTTATTTTGTGTAACAGTCAGTAAAAGGTTTTGTTTCACTGAAACATAAACATAAACTTACACTGTTTATGTTTTACGCTTTTTGGAAACAAGATTGATTTTGATCAACCAATGAATTTATCTTTGAACTACCAAGATGGGTTTCATGCTAACGATTCAGTACGTCATCTGAGGGTTTGTTCCAAAACTCCAAAATATAACATACCATTACTTACTTACTTGTTCTAAATAATTTCTTACAGGTGTTTTAAATCACCAGGGATTAGTTTTACGTCCAGCCAGCCTTCATGTAGGAATGAAATTACTTCTTACTTATTTTTCCAGCTCAACATTAGAACTTGAGTTACTTTGGCTGTCTAAAGAGTCTACTAGTTTTTAAATCAAATTAATTCTACACAAGATTTCAATCTCAATATTGGGACAGGTGACTGATTTTTTACAACTAGGAACTTTGCAAGTGATATTTTTAATAAATTTAAATCTGTTATGTAAGGTAACACACAGCGAGCACATAATAATAATAATAATAGAGAGGACACGGCGTTTAACCAAATGCACTGAAAGTGTGGCCAAATCCGCCATCTTGGTCCGTCATACAGCCTGAATCCAAGACCCGCGAGCACAGTTCGCATTAAAAACCCCGTGACAAATACACGATCATAAACAACATTAATAGTTGACCAAAAATTCTGAAATTTTGCACACTTGTAGATCTGATACTGAGGAAAACGATGGTGTTAATATAAAATTATTAGCTATGATAGTAATTGATTTATAAATATTTGTATTACTTATGTAGTTTAATTTTTCACATTCAGACATGAAAAAGTTGTATTGCGAGGAAATTTTTTATTTTTTGGTCAGAGTAATTTCGTCAGCGGGAAAGTTGTGGATAAATAACCAAATTTAACTATCCGATTCACCAAAAATTTTTATCGTGCGTGGTTTTCTAAAAATATCAGGTACAAAAGGGGTCCATTGCCGCTGATCCGCGTCACGCCCGCTGCCCTGCCGGGCCGTCGTCTATAAATTTAGCGTGCAGTGTTTTAATGTTTTATTTATACTGTTGTACTGTAATATTGTATACATTAAAGAAATTTTCAAATATATTGTCTATGGAGAATTTTCAACCGTTTAGCACAGCTTTTTAAGGACTAATTAGCTTTCAGTATCATCCAAGATAAACTAAAGATAATAATAATGTAAGTTAAATTAAACTTCCCAAATATATTTGTAAAATTGCACTCAATTTATTGTCTCAGGAAAATACAGTTTTATTGAGATGTTGCCTGATTTTATTTTTGTGAAGACTTTTGCTACTTATTTTACAGTAGTATCGAACTCTAACATTGGAATATTTTTGAGCAATAATTTTAATTAGGTACTAAACAAAAATGATTTTTGTCCATATTTTTTCATACCCTGAGAAATGTTTACTATTTGGAAACAAATTTACACCTACACATTGTCCAAGTACTTTGTTCGTCTAGTCCTCAATTACATTGTTTTCCTTTACACTAATATCATTAACTTTATATCTACACTATTCTCATCAAGCATAGCAGACGACTAGCGCGCTGCACACGCCGGGACTACTGTCGGGGAAATAAATATGTGCACTCGAGTTTGAGCCTAAATATCTCTTGAGATGAATTATCCGATTTTGTTGAGACAAAAATTAAATATAGCTGTTTTAAATACATTTTACGTGGTAACAATTAAAAAAATTTCCGTTTACCAGTAAAATTTATATAGTTGAAAGATCCTAAAAAGTACCGATTTTTAAGAAACTCTGCACTAACACTGAAGTTTAAAATTTAATTGTAAACAAACCACTCAGCCAATCTTTCTGAAATTGTTATGGCTTATTGGTAGGTTTATTGTTAACAGTTCCATGCATTTTAAAATTTTTACTCACAATAGTTTTTATGCTGATGTTTATTTTTTAAACGTATGCTAACATCGTTAATAAGACGCTAAAAATGTCGTTCAAAATGCCATCGTGTTTGTCATGAAACAAGAAATAACACCAATATGACAGATTTATAATGCGAACAAAGATGCTTTTTAAACAGATATATATTTGTAAACAAAAATTTCTCCGGCGATAAAAAAAATCGATTTACTACAGTAAAAACAATCGATTTACTTTAAGATATTTCCAACAATATACTAATACGACCATGTACTTCCAGAAAAACCTAAGTAATTTTTATACAAAAGTATTTTTACATTCAAACAAAGCCTATGTAAACAACACTGACTCGAAGCATAGCAGACGACCAGCACGTTGCACACGGCGGGACTAGGCTAGCGCCGCCATCTTTGTCCGTTTCGTCGGCTAGTCAGACTGCCACGCTCCTGCGCTCCGAGTAGCGCTTCTATTTTGTTATGTGTTCGCTGGTAACACATAGGTATTATCTTGAATCCATTGTAAGCTACCAGCTGTATATTACATTTCTGAAGGGGCTTGTATGAAACACCATATTGCGGTAGTAAATGAAAAGAATATTTACATCAATTAATGCCACTATCAAGCTTAAATTTCATTTTTCGTCCGTTTACAATATGTTCCTTCCACCAGACATTGGTTTTACCAAGAGAGTTTACAATGTAAAGACTCTCATTACTAGTTCTGTCAGCCAAACCACCCTAAGTACCAATATTTTCCTCAGATAATCTCACTAGCCTGAAGAGAGTTCTTACCTTAGATAAATTATTCGGTTAAGAACAGGTGTTACATAATTTACTTTATGAAGCTGGGCGAACCCAGAATGATGTTTACCTTATCTAAAACAATTTTTATTTTTCAGTTCAGGAGTTAAAAAACTATACTTTCTTTGAACTTACCAGCTAAGGTCTTACTGCATCAACGTCACCCTTGTAGGCCTACTTGTAATTTCTGCACAGCAATCGCATGTTCCTTTCTGCAATCTCGACTGATTTGAAGATGTTAGCAACTTTTTCCAGACTTGCATCTTCTCTTAAGAGTCTTTGTTGTGCTTTTCTTCTTGATCTTCAAATGCCCATGGTTTTATTAAATCTGCATAACAATTCCCAAAAGTCTCTTCTGGATGGTGTTTTTTAGAGAGCAACTTGTATATACCCATTTTCATTTTTGTTGAAATTTACAATGTTTCTTCAGATCATCAAAAATTGAGTTGACTGTTTCTTTGTTTGATCCATCTGACAGACTTTTATAGAGTTAAATCCATCATACCCCAGTAGGTTTTTAAGTCTTGCAACTTGTACTTTAGTTGACTTTTTCTCAGTTTCATTAAATATTTGCTAGATCTCCACTGTCATTTAAACTTGCTGGCTTATTAAACTCCATATTTCCAGTTGTCAAATCACTTTTTATACATTGTCAAAAAAATAAATTGATTATTAAATTTGACTGTGCTATGTTGTTAAGAAAGAAATAAAACATTTACTTTGCATTGTAATAGTCCTTACTGAAACATGTTACAACAACTCAGGTTTATAAATCAAAATACAAAAACAATAAAAATTTAGATCATAACATATGATAATATTCTTGTAACACTCTATAGGAGTCAATATAGAGATATGATGACACATTCCATGTGAGTGAGTATTAATTTATGTTTTCTGATGTTTTAGGATGCTAACATGTTCTGGGATTTTATCACTCTACAACCTCAGACGACTCACCAAGTTATGTTTACGTTTTCCGATCGTGGAATACCTGACGGATACAGGTTCATGAACGGTTACGGGTCTCACACATTCAAATTGGTCAATGCTGCAGGCCATCCTGTCTACTGCAAGTTCCATTTGAAGGTAAGTGAAAAGTATATTCTTTGATGGGAACCAGTTAGATCCACACCACTATGTGCATTTAAACCCTGAAAATGTGTGGAGTGTATAATGGAGGGAGATGCCTTAGGTACCTTAGTTACTGACAAAGACCAGCTGTCATAAGCCAGAACCATTTATTGAAAGAATAATGATCAACAGCTGGGTCCAGTTTTGAACCATCTACAAATTTCTGACTGTTCTCAATAAAAATAGAAAACCTTTCATTTTTAGGCAAGCACTATAACCACTAATATATACAGCTATTTATTTTTAGCCAGAAAAATAGTTCCAAACTTAGTATGCTTTTTTATTAGTGAATTTCCCAATAGGGAAGTAGCTATTACTGTTGGTCTCATAGTAAGAACTAGACCCGGGACCAATTTATTTTTTTATTTTTATGCCCACAGAGGTCAAAACGATGATGAAGTGTCTGTCTGAGGTCTGATTTTGATGAAATTTAGTGTGGACATGAAGGATGCCATAAACAATTTTGTATACTGAAGCATTGTTGTAAGATTGGAGGTTAAGGCAAAAATAAATAGCTTATTCCCTATATGGGAAATTTGCTAAAAAAACTGTACATTTAAAATTCCCATGTTATTCTTATAGACTAGATAAAAAGAAATGTGTTGTGGTTTGCTTATTTATGGTTATATTTTGATCAAATTTGACAAATTTATTTGTCTCATCCTGTACTATTAACATTTGATCAAAAACGCTTTTTCCTTCCCCATAGCAGCAAACCTAAGTAGGCTACTCATGAAATTAAATGTTATTTAAATGGGGAATAAATCTGTAATGTTAAAGAAAATATTTGAGTAAAAATATAATCAGGGAAATGGAAATTTGCTTAGTCTGCAAGTTTGCTATGGCAGGGGTATTTTTACGGTTTACCCCTCCATATCTTGACAAATTCTTTTATCTGACTTTGAGAATTACATCTATATTATTCTTACAAATCCCTCCTGTCAAACATTTTGTTAATTTTACTCATGTCAGATATAATTGGTCAAACAGAAAAAATCCAAATCTAATTTGAAGTATGAATCAAACAAAATTCTCTAAAAGCACACACAAATAAAAACTAAAATTTCAACTTTGTAGAGCAATCAAGGAATCCGAAATTTGACCAACAGCCAGGCAACCCAAATTGCAGGCATGGATGCAGACTATGCCATCAGGGATCTCTACAATGCCATTGGTCGAGGAGAGTTCCCTTCCTGGACATTTGCTGTGCAGATCATGACCTATGAGGAGGCTGAAAAATTTCCTTGGAACCCTTTTGACTTGACTAAGGTAGGTAATAGTAATGTAATCGAGGTATTTTTAAATCATGCAAATAATATGCTCAATGCTCATGGGTTTAAGTTTTCCAGAAATGTATATTATTTATTCCCAGTTTCAACAACAAAAACACAGCAATTAATTTTGCAGAGTCCTTGATGGAGTTAACCAAACACTACATATAGCATTAGGAACTTAGGAACAACAATTAAATTTGTAGAGTGAATTTCTTAAAAACAAAATACATCTTTAAGAACTCAATGAACTTGTTATGGTGTTTGGCTATCATGGTATTTATGAGTGTTCTTCATGCTAATTCTGTGAGTGTCAGTACTTACAAGCGATAACCTATGTTTCTCAACGTATCTTGAAAACTGCAACCCCATCTTCTGGGTATATCTTTGCTGTTGTGGTATTTTTTTCTGAGGTGGTATATCTTTACTATGGTATATCTTTACTGCTGTATACCTTTGCTGTGGGGGTTTATCTTTCTGTGTTTTGCTAGGTATGGCCTCAGGCAGACTACCCTCTGATGGAAGTAGGTAAAGTAGTGTTGGACCGCAATCCTGGGAACTACTTTGCAGATGTAGAACAAGCAGCGTATAGTCCTTCCCATCTGATCCCAGGCATTGAGCCCAGTCCTGACAAAATGCTCCAGGTAAGCAATTTAAAGGGACAAAGGCAAGCATATCTTAGAGTTCTGTTGATAAACAAAACTAAGTGCATCGTTAGAAGTGGGAGTCAAGGGTTATTTTACCACTGTTGAAGTTGTTAAGGAGTTTAGGAATAAACAAAACTGCCTTTATATAAAGGCGTTTCTCAGTACCATACAGTTTTAAAAGAATGACTTTGTATAAAACTTATTTTAATTGTTTAACATTATGTGTCACAAGGCCTGATAGGATATGAATGGTAATGCAAACAATTAACAACCATTTAATAAGGAAAACATAATTTTAATGGGAATTGGAAATAAAAAAAGATACAGATCAAGTTTGAATTTGAAAGTTGCTTTTGATCGTAAATACCTTTAAAATTATATGGAATTTGAAATTTGACACTTTTGAAACGTTCTTTGTGAAAGTTTTGGATATGTTGCTATTTCAAGAAAAACTTGTTTTTAATTTTTTTTTTTGTGACAATATTGTAATGTTGCATACAGTAGACTCCCTCTTATCCGGACTCCTCAGGACCAAGGCCAGTCGGGATAACGGTTTTCCAGTTAACCCTTAGGAGACTAACTTCTGATTTATGAGGAGTTTGTATTTTTTGCTAAAAAGACAAACTATTATAAAAAAAAAAAATTAAAACAGCATGCATAAAATTGAAAGAGGGCTGCTGTTCAAAAGTTATAGCATTTTTTCTACAAGATTGCAGAAACTGTTAAAAGTACCCCGGTCCTAGGCACCATGTCATAAACTATAGGTTCGGTCTCCAAAGGGTTAAACTGTCCTCTAAAACTCAGGAATCGCTCCTAAAACAACCCAGATATTTTATTTAAATTTAGGAGATCATTGTATTTGGGCACGTGATCACTGGACTCAAATCTTTCCCAAGAGAAAAGTAGTTTCAGTACTGTATACTTCCTACCCATCCAGTTCAGTTAAACTGATGTGTTTATATATATTGTCCGGTTAAAGAGATGCCACTTGTGCCAAGTGTAGTCCGGTTAAAAGGTGTTCAGATAAGAGGATGTCTACTGCATTAGAATAAAGCTTAGCTCATAACGAGTGTAGAATTTTAACCAGGATAGAGATATCTGTGAACTTTAAAAAAAAAATAAATAAAAAAATAAGGTATTCAACAAAGTACACAATTTAAATAGTGTTGTACGATTTTGTAAATACTTTGTTGGAATAAAGAAACAACTCATTCATTCATTAATTCCCACAAAAAATCCGCCATTTTGAAACAAATAAAATAATCAAATTGGTAGTGCACTAAAACATGTGTATTATATAGAGCTGTTAAATGATGATGACATATGTTTTTATTGAATCCTTGTATTGAATTGTGAATCCTAAGATTTGAACTAGACCCCCTCAGTTTTTGTAACATTCTGTATTAAAAACACATTTAAGGTTTTTATTTCATTCCTTGGTGTTGTTTAGCAGGAAGAAATATCATCTCACCATTTTTTAACTAACGGTTAAATCAATACAGATTCATCATTCATTCTGTATTACTCATCATTTTCATTAGTTAGATTTTTTTTTAGGAAAAGCACTTGGCTTAGGATTGCAATTAAAGGAAGAAGGAATGAATATACATCTAACTTACCTAAGAAAAGAGTTCCAGGTGGTATAAAGCTCAAAGAAAGTTCACAACACAATAAACTTGATATTTTGCCAAGTAGCTTCTTCAAAAGGAAAAAAAATTACTGTCATTATACTTTGAAATGTCAAATTTATTGTGCTGTAAACTTTCTTTGGAACTCTTTTCTTAGATGAGTTAATTGTGTATCCATTCCTTCTTCTTATTATTTTCTTCTCATCAGTGATGTTTGTTTCATTGTCACAGGCCAGATTATTCTCATATCCTGACACTCATCGGTATCGCCTAGGGACGAACTTCCTACAGCTTCCAGTCAACTGTCCTTACAGGGTGTCTATTGTAAATAACCACAGAGACGGGACGATGCGGTACGGTGACAACCAGAATGGCTCGCCCAACTATTTCCCCAACAGTTTCAGAGGACAAAAATTAGACCCCAGAGGTGGCATAGCTCCTTACCCTGTCACCGGAGATGTTACTAGGTAAATTAAAAAATAGTATACTCCATTTACGATTATTCCATTACGATTATAAATGACAATGGTTTTTTTTACATAAAAGTATAGTTGTTGACTTTTGATAATGAAAGTAGACTTTTTAATCCTGTAAAATTTTAAGGCTCCTTTCAATGTGTTTCATCTTGTGCATGGTGAGGTACCGATGTTGACTAAGTTTCTCTCTTATTTCATGGTAGAATTCACATGTGCTTTACTATGTGTTTGTAACAGTAGAAGACAAGTAAATGTTTGTAGTTCAAATCAAATCAAAATATTCTTTATTTGTAGTAGGGGTGTGCGATGCATCGAAAATGCATCGAAATTTCGATTCGATTCGATTCGATGCATCGAATCGCGATTCGATTCAGTGGTGGTCAAAAAACGATTCGATTCACGAGGGAGTCAGTATCCATATACGAAAAACGCCTGCAGAAAGTCAATGCAATACCCGCAATACAGGAGCGCGTTGCTGTTGCGTTTCCTTTACGAAGGCGTTCTTATTTAATACATTCTTTGCATTAAATATAGCTTTAATTGTTTTATATTTTTTGTTTGTTTTGACATTGCAAATGATTAGAGGTTTTGTTTTTTGTCTTGATGTAAGCAGTGTGTGAAATATTTTACTACTGTGAACCTAGCCAAAACAAGGTAGGTTACTCCAAAATCATTTTAAAAATAAGTCTGAAAAATTGTTACTTAACACTTAACTAGTAAGATCAATGTTATAGACTGATACATTTGGTATTTTTGTTAGGTGTCTGTCGGTCCCCGTCCCCGAATTTTTGTTGGGGCAAAAGAAAAAAAAGAATAATTTATTTCCAAAGAAACACTCTTATATTATTATATCTATTACAGAGGAATTAAAATGTTCAAATGAGAATTAAAAATTAAGTTGGCTCACGACCTTTAAGAATAAAGACACAACAGAGCAATTGCCGCACTGCCACTAGCCAGAGCCAGGTCTAGTCGTCTACTGATAAGAGTAACAAGACAAAAGCCGTGACGCAACACTAACAGTGCAAAGAAAACAAAGTCAAAAGAATAGAAAGACTATTTATCCAGACATACTAGTATAATCATTTATTGTTCATTCAATACCTAATTAAAAATATATTTTAGTATTTTACATAATAAATTATAAACAAAAGAAATATCTGATATAGTGAACAGATCTGTATCTTGGTTAAATAGGGTTAAAAAAATATATTTCTAAGATCCAATACAATATTTACAATTCACAAATTACATTGAATTAATTTCTTTGAAAATAATCTCTAACAGTTTTGTGTTTTTGAATAAAGAAATATATTTCTTTGTCTCTACTTCCTTGTTTCATCACTTGCATTTTGTCAGCAATTGAAGCAACTGGGTAGCAACCGGGTGGTGTAAGAGGGGAGGGGGAGGGTCTATGACCTTGAATGCACACATCGTTGCCCGGGCCTGGCTGGTGAGACTGATTCATTGTTTTTGTTTTCCTGCTGTTCCAAAAACATTGAGGGTAGTTTAAAAACATTGACCTGTGTTGCCAAGGGCACTAGAAGATAGCATTTAACTTTCTTGTCTCTTGATTTAATGTTATTTTAATCTTCTATATATTATTTAAGAGTTACTTTTCGGGTACCTAATTAGTTGTGATATTGTTTAGCTTCATTTTATGGATTTTTAATTCTTTTCATTCATTAGCTATCAAAATCAGTTGTTTTAGGATTTTAATCTCTTGCAGTACCGGTAGGTCTATACTACTGTATGACATGATATGCATTTTTTAGTCCTTATTAATTATACCATAAACAATGTTTGTATGTTATTTACTGTTTTTGAGTTTTATAGGAAATTAGTTTATACAATATCTTTTCTTCAATGAGTTCTCCACTTGACATGTTGCTTCTAGCCTATTACTATTTTAGGCCCTATAAAAATAATGCCTATGTAAAGCTGTAGGCCTACTGATGCCAATAATAATTCTTTATTTATGATGATGTAACAAATAATGTAAGTGTGAGGTTATTATACTAAGGAGGTTAGGAGGCAGGGAATGAATGATACATGTTGCATGGTGGAAACATATTATTTTTATTTTCTTCTTGCTTGCAGTCCTGAAGCCGGTCCACAGGCCCTAAACTTGTGATATGTAAATTTATTTCTTAATGGTCTTTTTATATTAAGTTCCATTCAAATTTGTTGTAATTTAGCTACCGGTACCTATTTAGTTATTTAAACAGTTATTAAAATGAGAATGAATGTCTTGATAAAAAAAATATTTTCTTCTTTCTTGCAGTTGAGCCAATTCCAAGTAAAAATTATGAAATAGGCAAGTAAAGCAGCTCACTGGTATTTCCAGCAGTTATTCTAATACATATGATTGAAAATAAATATTTTTTCACCTAAAATTCATATGTAAGTATGAATAGGCCTAATACCACATCAACAAAAATTTGTATTACACAAATGTGATAAATTTTAATTATTGTTAATCCACTCAATTGACAATTATGAATAGAAAAATACCGTATTGCTTCGAATCGAGTTGCATCGAATCGAATCGAAAATCTTTTGAATCGAATCGTTGCTTCGAATCGAAAATTTTTTGCTGCTTCGCACACCCCTAATTTGTAGTTTCGTCAATAAATTACAATGGCGTCATGCAATAATATAACTTAAAACTAGTACATGGATTTTTATGGCTTAGTACATGGATGGACTGTGAAATTTCAAGAAAGAGTGTTTAAGATAAAAAATTGTGTTAAACATATGCTGTGAAATTCAGTGCAAGTTATTGATGTAGATCGGATTCGAGGAATTCCTTCAAGGAGTAAGCAGGTCTGTCTATCAGACTCTGAGACCTGAAATGCTTTTTGGGAGTTCTCTTTTAAGTGACTTGCTTGTTCGTCACAGTATGTGTTAGGACTGTTAGGTTTTGTTTTTGTTCTGGGTCTTGTCTTTTTAATGGGGCATGAGTTGTCCAGGGTCCTCCTCACTGTTTCATAGAAAAGCTTGTAGGCATCATCAGCGTCGTGAGAATTTTTTACATTGTCCCATTGCTTCCCTTCTAAGGTTAAATGTGTTGAGATTCTGAGTACAAAAGTTTTGTTTTAAGCATGCCACTGGATTAGGTGGTTTTTCATAGAAGGTAAACACAGTGCATGTTTGTCCAGTGTGATCAAATAGGCTAGCTTCGAAAATGGTTAAGAGAAGGTTTGAGTCAGAGATGTTTGTGCAGATAAAGTCAATGGAAGTGGCACTAGTTTCCTCAATTAAAAATCCATTTCCTGCATTATCTTTTAATCTGTCAATATTTATACCTCCCATTATGATCAATGATTTTGATTTTGTTTGTGTTGCATCTAGAATATTACCAATAGTATCTAGGGCAGGTCCTATAGGGGCGTTTGGTGACCGGTAAACACCAAGGATATTTAGCTGTTTTTTATCAACCTGTATATTAATCATGGCAGCTTCAGTGGTGAGTTTGTTGCAGTACTCAGCTACATTGACAGATTTGGCAGTTGTTTGTGAGTTCTCTTTTATATAGATGGCAACACCTCCCAATCTGTGGTTTTCACGGCTGTATTCTGCTATCAGGTTGTATCCTGGGAATCTTGTGTTGGCCAGGGCTTGAGAGTTTAATCCGTGTTCAGTAGGAATCAATATGGTTGGCAGAATGGTTGATAGTGTGTGGTTTAATCTATCAACTTTTTTGATCAACATAACTTTTTTGATTATGTTTTGATGCATTAGAGTTATTTTTGGAATTCTTTCTGCCAGCTTTAACTTTGTTGTCTTTTGAGCAGTTTGTGGTGCGTTTCTTTGCCTGTTTCTTTGTTGCTGTTTTTTGTTGTTTTGTTACAGAAATGATCTGGTTATGAACATTGTTATCCTGTTGTGGTATAATGTTGATAGAAGTTGGCTGGTTTTGCGATATTGAGATTGAGGTTAATAGATTTTTCGCAGAGTGGATTTCCAGAAAATTTGTGTATTTTGGATGACTGGTGGGTGTTAGATTCTCCTCCATTTTCGATGTCCTGTTCCTAAAAAAGGGATCATAGCATCTGACTTACACAGGTTTGTTATTTGAGCAGAACTTACGTTAGGGGGCATGTTTACCTCGTGAGTGTCTAAAGTATCTATGGCGTCTTGGTCTTTATCCATAAGATTTATATGTTTCTTTCCAGATTGAGAGTTGGTAATCTTTGGTTTTTAGGTGAAGGTGGTTCTAGGTTCAGTTCCATCTACATGCCTATGGATATCTGGCTGGACTTTTATTACATTAGGCTGTTTCTAGATTGCTTGTGTATTTGATGGTACTATTGGCTGAAGTATGTCTGGTATGTGTGGTGTATATTCTGGAGAGTGAGACAGTTTTCTAGGCAGGGTTTGTCTGCTTCCCTCGGAGTCAACACTTTTGAGATGTAGCCATGGTTTTTTTGACGGGGTTTGTCTGATTCCTTTAAAGTGTTAGGTGTGATTCTCTCAGGGTCGGAGGAAGTGGCGGTTCAGTTGGCCGTTCATTCGAGTTGAGTGTTCATTAGGAGGGAGTTTGAAGTGTTGTGCTAGGTCCGGTTTTCTTTATGACTTTATCGCTTTTATCCATCTACTGAGGGTGTCACCATCTGTGGGGGTTTAGTACCTAAAGGTGTTAGTGTCTCCAGATGGCAACTAAGCAGTTTGGTATGGAGTCATAGATATTGTCTTTTGTCCTGTTGACTCTTACAACTGCTATGTTGGTTGCCTGCTTCCCTTGAAACTCTTTGATTGTTGAAAAATTAAAGCCTAGGCTGTTCAGTGAGCGTTTCTCAGCCTGTTTGAACACAAGAACTTTAAAGAGGCTTTTGTCAAGGTGTAGCTTGTTTATGTCATCGAGGTACATTGAGTCAGCTTCATTTTCCACTGAGTTGCAAGTTGCCACTCCTTGTTCGTAGTAAGGCAATAGAAGAGTGGCAACACGGTTTGTACACCTATAAGAAAAGTTAAAGACTGTGGTTGTT